GAGGGGGCTTGAGGTAAGGACATAGTGTGATTGATCATTTACATAAATAAGACATCTGGACGTTTACGTAGATCATTTGCATAGATAAAGTGTATGAAATTCTCTTTTGGGAGAGTCTCTCAAGGAGACACTGTCTCCCAGGGACATCTACATTGCTTTTATCTTTCCCTCTAGTTGTATATGTTATCAAAACTTGCAGTTGTTTGGATAAACACAGTGAGAGGTAAAGATCCCAACACTTCCTTCTCTGGGCTCTGAGAGCAAGCAAGGCTTTCATCATAAATCCCAGACTAAGTCCTCAGGCCAGTTCAGCTAGTCCTTTCCCATGGGGGTCCTGTCTCTTAAGTCACAACAGCTTTCTTGCATCAAAATCACGCATTTATGATTTCTAGACTGTTCCATTTTGATGCCGGGGTAGCTCACCACTCGCCCCAGGTCCCTCCCAGTCCCATGGCGGGATCTCCCTTTTGGGGTGTTAGGAACTAGAGCAACTGAAGCCTAAGTCAGGTAATTATGACCAAGTCATTATGCCCAGGAACAGATATATTTCAGAGTCAATCAAGTCCCAAACATTAGGAGCACAGCATTAACAATCTTTCTGTGTTTAACCAAAGAACAATGCTCTAGGGGCTGGAGCAATAGCACAGTGGGTAGGGCATTTGCCTTGCACACAGCTGACCTAGGTTCGATTCCCAGCATCCCACATGGTCCCTCGAGCACCGCCAGGAGTAATTCCTGAGTGCACGAACCAGGAGTAGCATTGCTGCGTGTGACCCAAAAAGCAAAAAAAAAAAAAACATTGCTTTATAGTAAAATATAAAAAGGCTATAGGGGAAATAGAAAAAGCAGGTACCAATACGCAGCACTTCAAATACGAAGCAGTACAAATACAAAGTTCAGGATTACCAGAAAGTTTTGGCTTACAAGTAATCAAGACTGACTTGGAAACTATTACAATAAGAGGTAAAATACAAAGGAAAGGTTAAAGATAGACTTTAACTAAATTAGGGATTTTAGCAAGAGCCTGGTAAGATTCTCTGGGAGGAGGAAAGGGAGCAATTCACTGATGAAAACTAAAGCACTCAGGGTTAATATCCAACACAAAGGAAAGTTTAAAGATAAACTTTAACTAAATTAGGGATGACAAGCTTCTAATTAGCTAAATTAGGGATAACAAGCAAGGGAGGACAAGCTTCTCTGGGAGGAGGAAAAGGGGCAATTCACTGATGATGCCTAAAACACTTAGAGTTAATATCCAACACTTCTCTGTGGAACACTCAGCCATCATAGCCATCTCAGCAGGCCAGCTCCCTAAGACTCCCTAAGGCCAGTCCCTGACCACACTCACGCCCTTTAAAGGGACAGTAGCCATAGCCTGAAGAGAAGTACGTCGGGGACCAGGCCTCTGTCAGGGGTCACACTCTCATCACAATGTCTCTGAACGACTTGGACGAGAAGTGACGGGGAAACCAGGTTAGAGTTCTGCCGGCCACCATCAGCGGCTATACACCAGCAAATGAAGGGACACGGGGGGCTGGAGCAATAGCACAGTGGTAGGGTGTTTGCCTTGCGCGCAGCCAGCCTGGCTGAGCCGGGTTCGATTCCTCCGCCCCCTCAGAGAGTCCGGCAAGCTACCGAGAGTATCTCGCCCGCACGGCAAAGCCTGGCAAGCTACCCGTGACGTATTCGATATGCCAAACACAGTAACAACAAAGTCTCACGATGGAGATGTTACTGGGCCCGCCTCGAGCAAATTGATGAGTAATGGGAGGACAGTGACAGTGACAGGGTGACACAACGGCATGAGCCTGACCCAGGTTCGATCCCTGGCACCACATACGGTCCCTGAGTCCACCAGGAGTGATCCCTGAGAGGTGAGCCAGAGATGCAGATCCTGGATCACCACCAACTGGGGGACCTCCCCCCCAAAAAAAGAGCAAATGGTTTAGGCTCCTGGTGTGTGAAGTGGTGTGAGCAGGCAGCCTGGTATCGGCTCTGCACCGGCTCCCGCACCCGCCCCAGGCTGGTGGTCTGAAGTCTGTTTGTGGTGGGATGGCGCTCAGCACTAGAGCAACAGCTTCACCTGGTCGGGAAAATCAAAATAAACAGACGCTGCTCATGTGCTAACCATGAAGACAGCTTTGGGGCGTCACGCAGTCTCGGGGCTGGGCTCTGGTCCGCGAGCGAGCCAGACGCAGAGCTTCCGTGCTAGAACGCTGCGGAGAGCCTGGCAGCGCGCCCGTGTGCCCGCCTGCGCGTCAGAGCCGGCCTCGCCCACGCTGCCCGGGAACCGCAGGCGGTTCTTGCCAAGAACCAAAGCTCCAGAGTCAAGTCGCTTCTGTCTGTCGGTGGGCGTCCACATCCTCAGCGACGGGCCTGTCACCTCGAGCTCTTGCGTTTAGTCATTTCCAAGCTGCATTAGCAGGAGCCAGAAGAAGGAACTGTAACAGGGCCCGAAACCACGGCCCTGCGTGTCTCCATCATGGGAAAAGCATCCCACGCCCTCCCCCTCTCACCACCGCAGCCTGCGGTCCTCAGCCCTGGGGCGGGCACAGACAGGTGTGACCGCAGATGGCTGGTGGGAGGCAGAGAGTTCAGGAAGAAGTGAGGATGGAGCCTTCCCCTGTGGGGCAAGAACTAACCACCCCCAGCCTCAGAGGAAGTAGAGAAAGTCAGAGCGGAGCTGAGAGAGAAAGCTGACCCTCGAGGCTACTGTTAGCGCCACAGAGCGGTTGGGGGGTGGAGGGGGAGGCCGCATCTCTGCTCGAACCCTGGCCGTAAATATTCCTGCACGATGACACCTTCGCCCGTGTACCTTTGACATCCCCTACTTGGGGGACGAGTCCCTAAAGATTCATCAGCTGAGCCTGTTCACAGTAAGCTTGTCACAGCCCGAGAGCGGAAGCACAGGGTCAGGAAGCGAGGGGCCCCCCAGAGAGCCTGGAGTCTGGACTCTGGAGGGGGACAGTTAATCTGTGCAGTAGCCCTGACGTCTGTTCCAGCAGGGGGACTGGGTTCCCAGGAAGGAAGCCTCACGGCCAAGAGAGCCCAGTCAGCTGCGACTCCCCTTCCGAGCAGGATGTGGTCCCTGCAGCAGAGGGTGAGGTGGGGGCGGGGGCCCGGGACTAGCAGCTCTGCCAATTCTTGGGGAGGTCATAGCCAAAGGGGGTCTCAGAGGCCATCATCTCTAAAACAGACCTCCCGAGGGGGGTCAGCCATGGCTGCCAGGACCCGGAGCCTCTCGAGGGCACCGTTTGGTACAGGATGGTGACCAGCTATCATGATGCTTTCCCCAAGCGCCCAGCATGGAAGGTGTGGGCAGCTGGCTACTAAACATGAAGGCCAAGGGCTGTTGAAAATCCCGGGAGGAGGGGCTGGAGTGATAGCACAGCGGGTAGGGTGTTTGCCTTGCACGTGGCCGACCCAGGTTCGATTTCCACCATCCCATATGGTCCCCCGAGCACCTCCAGGAGTGATTTCTGAGTGCAGAGCCAGGAGTAACCCCTGTGCTTCGCCGGGTGTGACCCAAAAAGCAAAAATAAATAAAAATAAAGCACAGGCGCTTCTTAGGCAGCATCATTTTTGTGACTCCTGGAATGCCAGTGTGATGAATGGGGCTGCAGCAACCTCACTGCACCCTGAGGCCTGCTCAAGAATGCCCACCGTAATGCAGGACTGGAAAGAGAATTTGGACCCCGTAAGGAAGAAATGCACCTTCTACCACAGACGGAGATTGTCAAGGAGCTTTTCGAGGCCTGGAGCTGTGAGACAGATCTGTAAGCCTGAGGGCCAGGCACCCCCACTCAACCCAAAAGCTGGAAGTGCCTCAGGGCGGCCTAGCATTGGCCAGTCAGTCCCTGCAGCCTGCACTGGGCACTCAGCACTGACCAATCCTCCCAGGGCGTCTAAGATAGCCACAGGAACTGACTGGCCAGAGGCAGCCGCAGGCCACGGTCTCCCCCCGCGCCATCTACCCATGGTCAAGCACCTCTGCTCCAAGAATCACAAAACCTCGACTTCTTCCCTTGGGCTCACTCCCCAGTGCAGGACAGCTACTCTGGGCCCAGTGTTTGGGAGGGAGCAGCTCCCGGGGCTCGGGGGTGGAACTCAGGGCTCAAAGCTCATGCTGGGGCCCCACTAAAGACCTCGGTGTGGGCAGCCCAGTGCTGCCCACTGTGCCCGGAGTCTGGGAAACCCCAGCTTCCTGTGTGTCTGTGTGTCTATGTGTGTGTTTATTTGTGAGTTTGACTCAACCTTCAAAGACTAACCTTACTCTTCTTTGTAGCTCTTCCAAACTGTTGAAGAGCAGGCATCCTTTCTAACAGTTTCTTTCTTTCTGTTTTTCTAATTGAGTCATAGCGAGATACACAGTTGCAGAGTGTTCATGCAGGGTTTCGGTCAGATCATGTTCCAACACCGACCCGCACCAGTGCACATTTCCGCGGACCAAATGTCCCCGGTCCCGCTCCCCACCCCCCTACCCTCCACCACCGACACCCCCTACCACCATCACCACGACCCCACCCCATAGCAGAGCCAGGGTTGAAAGTGTTCACTGCGCCCAGACCAGAGAAACTGACCGGCTGCTTCTGGCCAGCTCGTCCCACGTCAGAGCCGGAGCTAAGGGGTGCCTGGCCCGGGCCGAGTTTGAGCGGGTTAGTGGGTGTCACTGCGGAGCGTGAACCTGGTCCCACAGGCTCAAAGGCTGGACCGGTCACCCCCATCCCAGCGCTCCTGCGCCCGGGGCGCGGACAGCACCCTCTACTGGGCCCCGCGGGAACCGGCCGCCAGCATCCCCGGCGCAGGCCCGGGACCGGCCGGCACCTCCACCTGCGTGCGGGCGCCGCTCCCCTCCTCCCTGAGGGGCAGCCCCCGCGAGGGGGGTCCCCGGCGCTGGGTCCGTGGGTCGGTGCCCAGGGCAGGGCCTTCGTGGGCCGCGGGGACGCCCCGCCCCTGCCCCGGGCTCGCGCCGCGGCCGCGGAACGGGGAGCGGCCTGGGGAGCGGCGGGCGGGTGGGACCCAGAGCCGCGGCCCGCGCCCGCCCCGAGTCCCGCCCCGGCCCGCCCCGGGCCAGCCAGCCCGGCAGGGACCGAGGAGGAGGAGGAGGCGGCGGGCGGCGGGTCATGCGGCTCCTGTTCCTGGCGGTGCTGCGGCGGCACACGGGCAACGCCGTCACGGCGCGGCGCGTCCGGTAGGTGCGGGGCGCGGGCGCGGACAAACGGACGGGCGGGCGCGCGGGCGCGCGGAGCCGGGAGCGCGCGGCGCGGGGTCTGGACCCGGGGGCGCGGGCCCGGGGACGCGTGCAGGGGACCTGGACCCGGGACGCGCGGAACGCGGGGGGCTGGACCCGGGGGCGATGGACGCGGGGACGCGTGCAGGGGACCTGCACCCAGGGACGCGCGCGGCGCGCTGACCCGGAGGCGCGCGCGAAGCTGGACCCGGAGATGCTGGACCCGGAGGCGCGCGCGCGGGGAGCTGGACCCCGAGCGCGGGGCGCGCGCACTCCGGATCCCTCTCGCCCTGAGCTCTCGTCAAAGACCTTGGCTCCCAGAGCTCCCTCTCTGCGTTCCCACGGCTGCAGGAACGTTGCGTCCTGCCCAGGGCTCCCCGAGCTTGGGGGCACCCTGACCCTCGGTCGCGTCTTCCTGCTGCTGGAGGAAGGGTCGCGGGGCGCACGCTGCCTCACCGTGCCAGGGGGAGGACCTCGGAGTCGGGAAGCGGGTCCCCACGTCGGCCGCTCACGGATGGGGGTGTCCCTTCTGCTGTGTCTGCCTGCAGGGGCTTCTGTTCTGGTGCCAGGGCCCCGCTCCGCAGGATCTAACGGGAGGGGCACTTGTGCCCACGGCCAGGCTGGTGCCCAGGTCAGCACCCGAGCTTAGCCCGCCATTTCTCCTAGTTTGGTTTCTTAAGCAACTGGAACTTGCATCAGGTGGTTTCTCAACTGGCTGCCACTGGTTCTGCACGTGCCCTGATGTGGGCAGCAGAGGGTGACACAGTGACCGCTGGGTACTCAGGGCTGGGAGGCTTACTGGCGGGAGGAGGTGCCACTTGGCACAGCTCCTGAGAGGTTGCTCTGAGAGCCTGGGGAATGTCTCAGTGAGGAACCCCTGCCCCCCCCCCCCCCAGGCCAGACTCACCCTGTGCCCATGAAGCAGCAAGCCCAGAGGTGTCCGCTGGGATCCCACGGGTACAGTCGCCAGCACATGGGCTCGCAGGGAAGGGCTGTGCCTAGGGTCAGCCGCGAGGGACCCCCACCCAGACACCGAGGTGCCTGTTATAAACCTCTGCCCCACCCTGTTCCCAGCCTGCAGGGCCTAGGACACTGTGGCTGATCGAGCCCTGTTGAGTCTGAGCGGTGATGTGGGGCTTTCTCCCACATGCCTGGGGGCCCGGGACCCTTTTGTCCCCCTTCAGTGCAGAGAGGGTCGGGGAGGCAGGGAGGAAGAGGAGGCAGAAGGTGCTGGTGGGATTATATGTGGGGAGGGGCAGGCCAGGGCCCCTGAGTGTCCCCCCCACCCTGTGACCACTGAAGGGGGAGCCCCGAGTACTGCCAGGGGTGGCCCCAAACCAGAGACCCCAGCAAGCTCAGCTGCCCCCCAAGAGTGGAGGCATCAATGGCCTGGGGTTCACATTGGTCGGAGCAGGGAAGAGCCGGTCACTGCAGTGCCCCCTCCCCTCGGCCAGGGTCTGTGCCCAGTGTGGACATGACCGTGCTGGGCCGTGAGGTGCCCATCCCCCCGGAAAGGTGCTGAGAGGGCGGGGGGAGATGCATGCTCTCAAGGGACAGGGCAGGCAGCCCCCTCAGGTCTTTCTGCCAGTCTTCCCCCAGGTCAGCTCTCACTTGGCCAGGAGCCGCTCAAGGGCCAGTGCTCATCCCTTGAGGGAGCCCCAGCCTCCCCGCGGCCCTGCCTGGCCCCTCCAACACCTCTAGGTCACCCTCACCCCCGCCCCGGAGCCCCAGAAATACACACAAGGGCACCTGCTGCCTGCTCAGCCCGGGCCCAGCCAATAGGGCTGCGGGCCTTGAGGCCGGCCACACCCGGCTTCCGTGACGGATCTCAGAGGCACGTCAGCATCTGTGGGACAGGGCTGCTCCCGTGGGTGTGGCTGGACGGGGGGGGGGGGGGCACCCCGGTGCTTTCTTGGCATCCTAGCAGAGGGTTCGTGAGGGCAGTGTGGGAGGGGCAGAGCTGGGGACAGAGGGTCAGGGATGGAGCCGGGGACAGAGTTGGGGAAAGAGGTGGGCTCAGAGGTGGCAGGGATGGAGCCGGGGACACAGCTGGAGACAGTCTGGACCAGAGTTGGGGACAGAGTCTGGGACAGGTTTAGGGACAGAGCAGGCAGGGATGGAGCCGGGGATGGAAGTGGCAGGGCAGAGCCGGTGGATAGCGGCAGGCTGAGTGCTGGACTTTGCCCATAGCACGGGCCGGGGGTGTGGCTCGTGGGGATGGACGGAGTGTTCTTGTTTGAACAGGAAGCGCTTGGCAGAGCAGGACGAAGAGAAGCCCTCAGGGAGAGGAGCAGGAACCTGGTGCTGGGCGCTGGGCTGGTGTCGCTGGGAGGGTCCTGGAAGGTGCAGCTGCTATGGAGTCCCTGGGGGGCTGGAGGGGGGGCGCTTCCCACCAGGAACCACGGTGGCAGCCCTGGTCTTGGAGAGGGCCAGAGGTCCCCACTCCCATCACCGCTGCCTGCAAAGAAGGTTCTAGCAGCACCAGAGACGCAAATGCATACGCACACTGTGGATTCTGGGGAACCCCCACGGCTATGTGGGTTCAGGGGTGTGGGGAAGACGCCTGGAGGATGGACAGTCTGGGGGAGTCTCACTCACCACAGCCGCCCCACCCCTCGGGCCCTCACTGGGCGGGAGTGACGGTTGCCCTGAGCCCGGTCCCTGCTCAGCTCACGTGTGAGGAAGCGGGTTCGCTCCCACAGCTCTCCACGTCTGTGACTGCCTGTTCTGGTGCTGGGGCGGCTGGCCCCATGTCCAGCGCTGACCACCCACTCTGGGTGACAGCTGACCCACGTCCAGTGCTACTGCTCCTGCCATTGCCCAGGGCCCATGCCCTCCCTGGGATGGGCCTGGGTCAGGCCAGCCGGTGGCGTCTGCTTGGGCCAGAGCCGGATCTCCCGTGGTCACTGTGCCTTGGGCAGGCGGATCTCCCCACCCCCACCTGCTCCATCTGCCCTGGTCACCCTCCAGCCTGGGCGTCGTGCCCAGAGCAGGGTGCGGTGCTCTGGCCGGGCCCGGCCAGGTGTGGGCTGTGTTCCAGAAGCGCCGAGGAGGGCAGGTGGGGCGGGCAGGAGGTGGGAAAGGTCAGCAGCCGGGGGGGAGGGGTGAGAGCAGGGCTCAGGGAGGGCAGCCGGGCCTCCGCACTGACCCCCAGACTGTCCAACACCCAAGGCAGGGCACTGAGGGGCCCGGCTACCACAACGTTGGCTCTCACATGCACACCCCACCTGGTGTCCCCAGCACTCAGTGGGCCCCTGCACCTGGGGTGACCCCTGAGCACAGAGCCAGGAGAACACAGAACCAGAGGCACACGCAGACACACAGACACACACAGACACACACAGAGACAGACAGACACACACAGAGATATACACAGATACACAGACACAGACACTCAGACACACACAGAGACGCACAGACACACAGAGATACACACAGACACACACACAGAGATACAGACAAACAGAGACACACACACAGATACACAGAGACACATACAGACACACAGAAACATAAAGACACACAGAGACATGTGTAAACTCAAAAAAAGACAACAGTGGTCTATCTTTCCCCGCTCGCGTTTGTTAGTCTCACACCGGTTCCCCCACCCTGGGGAGGTTGATGGCGATGGGCAGGCGAAGGAAGGAACAAGGGCCAGGCCGGTTGGTCTTCGGTGCAGTTTATTCCATTCCCGTCTCCATTCTCCTCTGGTTCTCCTCCTGCTTCTTCTTCCCCCATTCTGCTACTTCATTCTCCTCCTCAATCCCCCTTCATCCTCCTTCTAGAGTTTGGATACTGATCCCCAGCCCACTCTTTCCTTCTAGTTAAATCCCAAAACCATGAGGGGTTGGGGTTTACACAGAGGTGTGGTCACAATCAGTAGGGGTAAAGTTCTTTCCAACGGGGAAAGCAGCTTCTAGGACAGATACTCTCTCAGCAGGACAACCCACCCTAAAGCGGAATCCCCTGGGTGAGTTTCTCCTCTCCTTGTCCAACAAACATAATATAAATTATTTTCTATGGATACAGTAAAAAATACCTTAAGCTTATAGAATTGCTCTCCTAGGGCCATCTCGATCTCAGACTGCAGTGCTCAGGCCAGATAGTCTTTCCTATCCCTAGCAGGGTCCTAATCTCATCGTTACTTTTGGATCATGACATCATTTGTCTATGATCAAGCTCTTAACTTACAGTTAAGAATCGTGGCACTTTGGCCTGGCCCATTTCGATGCCAGGGTAGCTCACCACTTGCCCTGGGTCCATTCAGTCCCTGTCGGGACCCTGCTTTTGGGGTGCTAAGAACCAAGGGCAAATGAGGCTTAAGTCGAGAAAGCAGATGCCCGGGAGTGAATAAGATTCAGAGCCAATTAAATCCTAAGTTACAAAGCATAATATTAATGGTCTTCCTGGATCTATACAAAAAGGACATTGCTTTAAAGTAAACTATTCATAAGACATAAGAAGAGGAGAAAGACAATATTAACTTACAATACAATTTCAGTATCCTAGAAGGATCCGACCTTACAAATTAACAGATTCTGATTAGGGGGAAAAGCTGATTAATTGGTTGGGGAAGAGAGCATAGAGAAGTGGTTACAGATAACGAAGGAATGGGAGTGACTCTGGAGCACTGTGATGGGTGTAACCTGATAAACCTAAGCTCCTTGTGGCAAAGGAGAAAGGACAAAGCAATGCCATCCTACGGAGACACACACACAGACACAGAGACACACAGGCACACAGATACACAAACATACACAGACACACAGATACTCAAACACACGCACTCAGGCCTCCTTTTCTCTCCCTTCGTCTCTGCGCCAAGGGACCACCTAGAAGCCGCGGGCCACGTGTGTGTCCTGAAGGATGCCTTGGACTTCGACAGCCCATCCGAGGTGGCCGACCTGGTCCAGGTGGACGGCGTGGAGGCCGCGCTGGCTCTGCACCTCTATCGCAGCGGGCGGCTGCTGCAGGGTAAGGTGGTCTACACAGCACGCGCATCCGGGGAGCGACTCGGGCCCCATGCGGATGGGCCCAAGTGCCCAGCCCTGAGTGGTGCCCGGAGTTGGGTCCCAGGAGCTCTGCTGCCTCAGGTCACCCTCGGAGTTGGGTCCCGGGAGCTCTGCTGCCTCAGGTCACCCTCGAGGTAGCTAGAGGGAGCCATGGGGTCTTGCGAGCCCAGAGCCTCCCGCCTGCGTCTCCCTCCTCCTCACGCCTCGGGAGTGGAGCCTGGCCTGTGTGCTCTGCGTTCCCTCGGGATGCAGGGCCCAGCCCACGGCCTGTCTCTGGCCCGCACACAGGTCTGCCCATCCCTTTTGGGGTCATCTTTGGCGGCACAGACTTAAATGAAGACGTGAACCAGGAGGAAAAGTGCCGAGTGATGGGCAGGGTCCTGCAGGAAGCCAGGTGAGTGCGGCCAGGCCACTCTCCCAGTAGGGTGTGCGGGGCTCACAGCCAAAGCAGCCTGGCCCCCCTCCCTCCCCCTCCCTCCCTGCCCTCCCTTCCCCGCCCCCGCCTCCCCCTCCCCCCCCCCCCCCCCCCCCCCGTGGACCCTCAGTTCATCCACCTAGCGCCTTTCTCTAACTAGAGCTGGCTTGCCCAGTGCCGCGAGAGCCCTGGGCTTGCTGTGGTGCTGCTCCGGCCGTTCTGTCGGGACTCAGCTGGGCTCGCCCTGAGTTCGGGAGCAGGTGGGGGACATGGGGACCCCCAGCTCTGCACGGCTGGCTCCAGGGGGGCTGGCTGCACCCGGCTTCTCACCCGGGTTCCACCCAGGCTGCGTTCCCCTTGCAGGCCTGGCTTTTCCCGGGTGAGGCAGGGTTGGCCCCGGATGCCAGCCTGGGCTCTCAGTAGGGGGCACAGGGCCCGTCTTGGCGCTGGGTGCTCTGCCCCCCTGCAGGCTGATGCTGTCCCTCCTTCAGGTTCGCGGTTGCATTCACAGAGGCCATGCGGGAGACAGCGCACAGGCAGTGGGTAGGTGCAGGCTGGGAGGGGGACTTGGGAACTCCCGCCCTCAGAGTCTCCTCTTTGGGTACCCGGCAGTGCCCACCCTGTGCTCGCCGTGACTGCCCTTTGGTGCAGTACCACAGGGTCTGGGGCAGCTGCCTGGTACCGGGTCGTTTCCCCCACCCCCACCCCCATAAGAGCAAATGGACTTGCTTGCTGCGGTGCTTCTCAGGCCTGGCTCGGGAGCAATTGAGCAAAGGGACTGGGGAGGGGGGAGGGGGCTCAGTCCCTGCTACGCTGGGGCCAGGAGTGTCTGGGTTCTTCAAGGTCCAGGGTACGCTGACCAGGCGAAGGGGTGGCCGTCAGCACCTGGAGATGGTGGCTGTCCCTCCCAGCGACGGGGCTGTGGAGGAGATGCCGGATGCCGGGCCCTGGACGGGGCATCTCCCCTCAGCACTGAGTAAGAGGGACCCCTGGCTCCTTCCAGGCAGAGACAGGCGCGGGCATGGGTCTGTGGGGGCGGGTGACAATACATGTGCGGGGCCGGCGAGGCTCGTGAGGAGGGTTTGGGATCTCGGCTTTGAAGTGTTAGAAGGGGTTATTAAGCTACAGGACCAACCTGTTGTTTTAGCACAGACTTTTATTGGTGCCCGGAGGTTTCTCTGTAGAGCCCACCCTGACAGCTCGCGCCATTAGTTTCTGCAGTGAGAACTGTTCGTGACAGGAGGCCTGTGATCACCGTGTCCACCTGGGGCTGTCTGCTTCCGCTGTCCCTTGGCGCAGAGCGTGGCTGACCAAGCTCGTTTCCACAGCCGAGTTCCCGCGGCTATAGTTCCGTGTCCTCACTCTGCACCGCCTCGTTCCCCCCCTCCCCCCCCCCCCCGCCCCTGGCTCTTCACGCCCCTGGTCACTGTTGAGCCGGGTCCCAGGGCTGATGGCGTGGCAGCCTCTTGACGCCATCCGTCTGTCCCAAAGCATCTCTGTGGGGAAACGCAACTCTGAGCCTAAAAACCAAGGCGGAAGCTGCATTTTCTGTGGCGTTGGAGAAGCACGGAGGGCCGGCAGCGGCTGGTCCAGGGTCCCAGGGGGCAGGGAAATGACCAGGGGATTCTGTGACCAAAGACCTTCGTTCTTCCTCCCCCAAAGTTCTCCAGGGCTGTGCCTGGAACCCTGCAGCCCTGTCCCCGGGCTGATTCCCAGTTCGCCCCAGGCTAGAGGCCTGTCCAACCCACAGTTGCCAGACATTCACTCCTGTGTGTCTGTGTGTGTATGACAGCTTGGTGGGACCCTCCCCATCCCCCGATTACTGGGTCCCAGAAAAGCATCTCCTGTCCCTATCCCTGAGCGTGTATTGAGTTCCCCAGAGCCCTGGTCTCCTGTGGCCCCTGGTTATAACCTTCCCGGGGGCTGAGCTGGGTGGTACCAGGCTTGCTCCTGGCCCAGAGCAGAGCCATGGGCCCAAGTGAGGCCTGGACCCTCGGGCACGGCTCCCAGCTGCCGCTCAGTGTCCTTCTCCCGCACTGCGCGTGGCTGACCTCCAAGCCCGCCCGTACCGCTGCCTGCTAGGGCGTTTCTTCAGGAACCAAAGGCAACGGCTGGGCCATGTCCCCTCCTGGCTCCCGATGGTGGCCACTTGCTGCCCCTTCACATGAGAACCGGCAGCATTTCTCACTGGCAGCATTCTTTTTTTTTGCTTTTTGGGTCACACCCGGCGATGCACAGGGGTTACTCCTGGCTCATGCACTCAGGAATTACTCCTGGCAGTGCTCGGGGGACCATATGGGACACTGGGAATCGAACCCAGGTCAGCCGCGTGCAAGGCAAACGCCCTACCCGCTGTGCTATAGCTCCAGCCCTTCGCTGGCAACATTCTTGAAACTTTTTTTTTTTCCATGGGTCACACTGTTCTGCATTTGCTTTTGGGTCCCACCAGCAGTGCCCAGGCTGTCTCCGGCTCTGTGCCAGGAGTGACCCCTGGCGGTCCCAGAGGTGCTATTTGGGATGGGTCCACCCTCCGGCCACGGGCATTGGAGTCTGGACCTTCGCTTCTCCTGGGCAAAGATGAGCCTGTCGAACCCCCGCTCCCCTCAACCCTGCTGCAGTTCCCTGTGGGCGCTGGGCAGCTGTCCACCATCCATCCGCACTCTGCCAGACATGCAGCCCCCGATGCAGTCGGGGCTTGGAGGCTCCCCTGAGGAGAGTGTGGGCACTGCCAACCCCACCCCACGGTTGCAGTGGCCTTTTCCAGCATCTGTGGGTGTGTCCCAGAAACGAGCTCTTTCCTCTCTAGTTGTTTGCTGAAGTTTTGCCAGAAGCCTGTGAGGAAAATAGTGTGTGTCGTGGTCCCGGCACCTGTCCGTCCCCCTCGGCCTGCCTCCCCCAGGTGCCAGGCGTGGGTGGAGCCCCGCGGGACCCTGGGTCCCTGGATGTTCTGGCATTTGCTCACTCTCAGGGCCGCTGCGAGCCTGGCACGAGGCTGAGCTCAGGTGCAGTCCTGCTGTGGGGTGGTGACGGCGGCCCCGGGCAGGCTAGCCCAGCCCCTCTCGAGTGACCGAGTGACTGTGGGGTGCCGTGTCTGGCGCAGCCTCTGACCTCCTGCCCTGGTCTCTCCCCAGCCGCACAGCAGAGGGAAGGTGTGTGTGCAGAGCCAAGGTAAGGCCTGCTCGGATATACCGCATGGCAGCATGGCATGCGTGCGTGTGTGTCTGTGTGTGTTGGTATGTGTGTGTCTGTGTGTGTTTGTGTCAGTATGTGTGTATCTGTGTATGTCTGTGTGTCTGTGTCTTTGTGTGTCTGTGTATGTGTCTGTGTCTGTGTGTGTATGTCTGTGTATCTGTGTCTGTGTGTGTGTGTGTATCTGTGTCTCTGTGTATTTCTGTGTGTGTATCTGTGTCTCTGTGTGTGTCTCTGTGTCTGTGTGTATCTGTGTCTCTGTGTATTTATGGGTGTGTATCTGTGTCTCTGTGTGTGTCTCTGTGTCTGTTTGTGCACGTGTGGGGAGATGGCCGGTGTCCCAGCTGTCTACGCTGACGGGTGTCACCGTGTCCTCACGGGCTGCCCAGCAGGGACCGGCTTGAGGCTCTCGCTGCCTTGATGCCTCGGCTTAGGCGCTGCCAGCGGATGACGGGCGCAGGTCTTCGGGCTGAGCCCCAAGGGGTTCTGGGAGAAGCACGCGCAGACGCAGCCGCAGTCGGCTCACCCCTCTCTCCCCCAGGAATCGCCACCGTGCCCAACACAGCCCTGAGCTGGCCCGGCTTCCTGCAGCAATCAGGTGAGCATGCCAGAGACCGGCCGGGCCACCTCTGGGTGGGGTTGCCTGTGGGCAGGACCCGCCTATGGTCAGCGACAACAGCATGGGCAGACTAGGTGTGGCCAGAATGAAAACTAACAAATATATAATAAATCATTACATAGAAAAGTGCATAATATAGCATCATGTACATTTACACTACATTAATGGGCTAACTTAATATGGAATCATATTTTATATAGTCTTTTTTTTTTCTTTTTGGGTCACACCCAGCGATGCACAGGGGTTACTCCTGGCTCTGCACTCAGGAATTACTTCTGGCTGTCATCAGGGGACCATATGGGATGCTGGGAATCGAACCCGGGTCGGCCGCATGCAAGGCAAACGCCCTGCCAGTTGTGCTATTGCTCCAGCTTCTTTTATATAGTCTTTATGTGTAAATGTAGCAGGAATTTAACTTTTTTTAAATTGGTTTTGGTTTCCTGAGCCATACCCAGCAGTGCTCAGGGGTCACTCCTGGGGGGGCCCAGTGTGGCCCTAGGGCTTCACTGGGCTGAGTCATGGCAGGGCCAGCCCATACCTGCTTACTGCCCCTTCCATCTGAAGAGAGAGCATACCTGATGAGGCTGCATCCCTGCGTGCCCGGGGACCAGGGGTGCAGAGGTGGAACCCAGAACCCCACCGCACAGCCCCTGCCCTCCGGCCCTGTGTGAGGAGGCACCGGTCACCTCACACGCTGCCCAGCCGGCTACAGGCACTGATTTACTCATCATGGAGGATCGCCGGGCACTTGTGGTGGTCCCTTTGCTCGTGCCCACCCACGCTGTTGGGCTCGTCCTGGCTGTTCAGGAGAGGTCTGTGGTGGGTTGGGGCCCAGGCACCCGTCGGGCCCTGCCCCCAGACACTCCTGGACCGGAGGCTCTGGTCGGCTGAGGTTGTTAGGAGTTTGTTGTCCGTCTGAAAGGCTAAGTCCTGTTGGGGGAGATTTTCTTGCGGTTGCAAAGATACTCTTATTTTTTTTCTTCTAGAAGTTTAAGGGTTTTTTGAAGGGAAAGGATCACACTCAGCTCAGGGCTTACTCTTGGCTCTGTGCTCAGGGATCACTCCCAGCGGTGCTGGAGGACCCCGTGCAATGCTGGGGATCGAGCTGGGGTCAGCCACATGCAAGGCGAGTGCCCTCCCAGCTAGTCGTGTGTGTGTGTGTGTGTGTGTGTGTGTGTGTGTGTGTGTAATGAGGTAAGGACCAGGGTCTTGTATTTTCTTTTTTTCTTTCTTTTTTTTTTTCTTTTTGGGTCACACCCGGCGATGCACAGGGGTTACTCCTGGCTCTGCACTCAGGAATCACCCCTGGCAGTGCTCAGGGGACCATACGGGATGCTGGGAATTGAACCCGGGTTGATCATGTGCAAGGCAAATGCCCCACCCACTGTGCTATTGCTCCAGCCCTGATCTTGTATTTTCTGCAAGTTATCCCAGTATCATTTATCATAATTTTTTTTTGTGGTGAAAGGGGTGTTTGGGCAGCAATGACCAGTGCTTCGGGGCTCCCCTTAGCGCCCGGCTTGGAGGACCATGCGGGGCTGGGATGGAGCAGGGGGCACCCCTGCAAGGCGTGTGCCTTCACCCCTGCCGTATTTCTTTGGCTCTGGAAGTGTTTTTTTCCCCGCTGAGCTGCTCCGGTTAGCTCGCTGGCAATCAGTTCACCGTCACACATTGGTCGGGGTTATCCAGGAACCCAGGCTGCCCTGCTGCCGGTTATATAGCAAGTCAGGAAGCAGGGAACGCGAGTGAGTGACCATGTTGGGGCTTTGTTGATTTTTCAAGCCTCCTCTCCGTGCCGATGTCTGCCATATCCCTTTGCAGCCGTTAACCCCACAGCTCAGGTTAAGAGTGGACATTGGCTGGTGTCCCCTCAGCATCGAGTGTCTGTGCGCTTCCTTAAGGTCCTGTTTGTCTTCGTGATGCCTTGTACAGTTCCTTCGCGTCTGTTTTAGAAAGTGCCTCCTCCAGGATTCTATTATTCGGTTGTTATTATTTCGGCTGTTATAAATAGGGCTTCACGTTTCTCGTCTTCGTGGCTGTCAGTGTGAGGGCGTCGCCCGGTGCCCCCCACCCTCCTCCTCCTCCTCCTCCCCCCCAGCCCGCCGCGCGTGACTGGGGAGCTCACACGGCAGCTCATGTGCTTGCGGGGGCTGTGGTGCTTCCGACAGCCCTTTGGGGGTCCCCGGGGGTCCAGGAAGTGGACCAGCAGCCCGGCTGAGCAGCTTGGCACCTCAGCCCGCCTGTCCCGGCCCCCAGCAACCCCCCACGCGTGGCTCAGTTCTCGCTTATCCTCAGCCCGGGCCCCCACCCATCCGTCCCGTGTGCCCACCAGCCGCGCTGAGACCAGTCCGGCCTCTCCCCTCCCTGTGACCACTGTGTTTCCCTGACACTGTCGCTCTGACAAGCTGCCCGAGGCCTCGGGCCGGGGCTCTGTGTCACGGGTGACCCACGAGGCTCACGCATTCACAGGCCTGTCATGGACTTGGCCCTGGGCCCTGAGCACTCTCAAGGAGCAAGACATCCCCCAGCACTGCTTCTGTGAAGACAGAGCTGTCAGGGCTGACCATGAGCCCCCGGACTCTCCTGGGCTGGCCGGGCGGGCAGGCGGCTGAGAGCACCCTAAGTGTGGGTGCCCATGGGGGTGTCCCTAAGTGTGGGTGCCCGGGGGGCTGTGCCCCTCTTCCCTCCCCCAGCACCTCTGCCTTAGCTCCTCACTCCCCAGAAGTCCCCTCACACCTGCCCGGGCTCCTGGCTCTGTCTAGTCCCTGGGAGGGTCTCAGGGCCCCCAGAGGTAATAGAGCTCGGGGCCGGGGTGGGGCGAGGCTTTGCCCTGCCACCCTGAGCCCCCCTCCCCGCAGACATCAGCCCGAGCGCCGACGGCCTATACGTGTTCCTGTTGGTCTGCGGCCTCCGGCCTGTCAAGGACCCGCTGTACCTGGTGGACGCCTTTGCAGGTATGAGTTCCAGTCTTGGCCCTGCGAGCAGCTGATTCGGCTCAGCCCACCCACCTCCCCTCAGCGCTTTCTGCACCCCTGTGCTGGGGGTCCACTGGGGAAGGCCCTCCCAAGGGGTGTCCATGCGGCCATCTGGTCTCACGGCACCAGCCAAATCAAGGTGCGCTTACCCTGTAGGCAGGAAATGCGGTACCTGGGCGAGGAGTGAGTTTTCTCAGTCCATGCCTGGCAGTGCTCGGGGGTGACTCCTGGCAGGGCTAGAGGGTCAATCCTGGCAGTGCTCAGGGCGTCACTCCTGGCAGGGCTCGGGGGCCGCGTGGGGTTGAACCCGGGTTGGCCGTGTGCAGAGCAGACGCCCTGCCTGCCCTGCCCTCGCGGCCTTGCATGCGCCCGTGAGGCATGGCCATGACTGCTGGCCATGCCCGGCCGCCAGTGCCCGCGGAAAGCAGCCCACGGCCTCCCCTTCCCTAGAGTGGCACCAAGAAGAGCCCGGCGTGTACCTGGTGATCGTGGGCCCAGAGGTGAGTGACGCGCCCCTCGCCCACCCCCTCCCCCAGCGGCCCCAGCCCAGCCAGGTCCACTTCTGACCAGCCTAGTTTCCTCATTTGAAACAATCCCCTGGCCAGGTCTGAGTCAGCAGGACATGGATGTCACGGGGGCCAAGGACGGGCCTCTGGGCGGGTGGGGACTGCGGTGCCGAGAGGAGGCTGCACACAGGAGACCCCAACGCACAGCTGGGAGGGGTGGGGTGGTGGGGGATGGTGTCCAGCTTGCACCCTGCAGGAGGAGGGCAGCTGCCCCAGGATGCGCCTGGCCCCGCTGCTGGGGTTCGTCCCAAGGGTGCCTGAGCCTGGCCGTGTCTTTCCAGGTGGACCCAGCGTTCACCAGGGAGGTGAAGGCCACAGTGCAGAGGTGAGTATGGGGAGCTGGCGGGTCTGGCCCAATCAGGGAACTGCCCATGGGGGGTCCGCTCATGGGGGCAGCACAGTTCTCACAGGACATGGCGCCCGCCCGCCTCCAGGGCTCTCACCCTCACGGCTGTCCTCCCCTGGGCCCACCCGAGGTGACAGGGTGGCTGCAGAGCTCCTGCCATTGCATCACCATCCTCCCCAGAGACAAGCGCAGCAGCTCGGGCCAGAATGACCCCTCCAGCGGGTCAGCCCCCGGGGCTCCATCCTCAGGACTCCTTCTTGTCCTGCTCTTATCTCTCTGGGACTCATCTGCCTGCAGCACATGAAGTCCTAAGGACAGTCAGGGCTGTGGGCAGGGGAGGGAAAGATGCTCCCTCCCCGGGCCGTGGCCCCCATATTCACTGTGTGTCCCTCTCTCCACCTGTGAGGCTGGATCCTCCCCACACATGCATGTCTGCGTCGTGACAGCTTGGCGCCGGCCCATGTCAGCCTTTCGGTGGGGTGGGAGGTGGGGTGGGTGCCCGCGAGCTGTGGGGGGGGCACAGCTGGGCCCACAAAGCCCCCTGCGTGTCCCGGCAGGAGCCCGGGCGTCCGGCTGCTGCCTGAGATGCCCCAGGAGGACCTGCACGCGGTCATCAGGAACTGCTTCGCGCTGGTCAACAGCTCCGTGTCCGAGGGCATGTCAGCAGCCATCCTGGAGGTAATGGCAGCATCTGTCCCTCTGTCTGCAGCGCAGGGCTCCAGCAGTCCTAGCTCAGCTGGGAAGGCCCCTCCTCCTTGCTGTGCCTCAGGGACAGGCATCACCTAGTCATGTCCATTCCCCCTTCCCCCCTCATTCTGGCTCCCTGCCCCTCCCCATGAGTCTTAGGGATCCTTGGCCTGGGCTCCCCACGGGCAGGCTGAGTGCTGTCCAGTGTCCCGGCCGCGGCTTCCTGGCCTCCCGTAGCGGCACACCAGCCCTCACAGCCATGGGCCGTGTGTCATGGGGGTGGCAGGGCCCCCTCCACCTCTGCCGAGTGGCTCCTTTGCCAGCAAACAGGCTTCTCCCCCATGCTGGGGCGGGGTCTCCAGGTCGCCCTGAGCCCACTGGCTCCAAAGGAGAAGCAGCTGTGGTGACTCTTCCTGCCCCAAGGCTCTCAGAAAACTCCAAAATAACCTTTGGGCCACGGATTTGAATGGCACTGATTTCAGAGGCGGGGCAGAGCGGCTTGTTAGAATCGATTCATCAGCCAGAGCGGCTGATAATCACAGAACAAAGGCTCCCCCCCAGAGAGCTGCCTCACTGGTGCTGCGGTTCCCCCCGGTTCCCCCGTGAAGCTGATGAAAGCCCCTTGCTGCAGCGAGCTCATGGGCAAGCTCCAAGCCAGAGCTATGTGTGCGCATGGGGGGCCATGCCTGCTCCGGGCCTCTGCGGGTCGAGGCTCTCCAGAGCTGGGTCCTGCACCGCCTTCAGGCTGGAGAACACCACGCGAGCATGCAGTGTCCTTCCCAGCCTCCGATGGCCTGCCACACACACACACACACACACACACACACACACTGCAAGCACACATGCATACACACAGCATACTCAGACCATACTCACACACATTCACACACACCGCATGAACGTGCACACGTATACTCACACTTGCACACACACATACATAACACACATTTTCACATATACACAGTACACTCCGGCACATACTCTCACACTCTCACACAATGCTTGCACACACACCCACAGTACACTCAGACCATACACACATACACACGCTCACACACTCACACACAGCACACTCAGAAACATGCCCTCTCAGGTACATGTGACACCCGTATGCCGACACTCACACACACCTGTCCTCACGCCTCGTCACCCAGCCCCATGCACAGAGAGCATGCCCATATGCACAGCCACTCAACACACCACACAGGACTCCCCATGCAGCGCCCTGCACACACGTGCTGCCCTCACACGCCACAGTCCAGAGCCAGGCCCCCCACCCGCCCGGCCCCTCCCCCACATGCACCCTGGGGCCCCCAGTGGCTGTCGGGCATCCCCTGTGGATTTGCACAGACTCTCCGAGTATCTGCGAGGAGACCCCACCCCACCCCCACACGCCCAATACATCTTTCTCTTCCTCCTGGGGCCTGGCCTGGTCTAACTGCCCAGCGCCCCCCTGGGCCTCCCTATCCCCCTTGTCCCCCTCCTGCCTCTGCCCCATCTGACAGTGTCCACTCTGGCCCCTCACGCCCAGTGACGGCAGCTGTGCAGGGACCCCTTGTGCCCCGACTTTCCTGCGTCTGGCCACTTGCGGACGGGCAGTGAGTTGGCTGGAGGGCGGCAGGCCCAGCTCTGACCTCTGTGGGGCCACCTGCCATGACAGAGGCTATCAGGCTGTCCCCAGCCAGTCACGAGCCCCCCCCCGTCCCATCTCCTGCCTCTCGCCCCCTGGGCCCTCTGTGTGGGCAGCCAGGGGCCACCCCTGCTCGGCCAACCTGACAGTGCTGCTGTCATGTGCGTCCACACTGCTGACCCCAGTCCCTGTGTCCACTCTGCTGACTCCCCACGACCCTGCATCCACGCTGCTGACCCCCAGCTCCTGTGTCCATGCTGCTGACGCCCAGACCCTGTGTCCACGCTGCTGACCTCCATGACTCTGTGTCCATGCTGCTGACCCCACAACCCTTTGTCCATGCTGCTGACCCCCAGCCCCTGTGTCCACGCTGCCCTCTCCCGCAGGCCATGGAGCTGGAGGTGCCGGTCCTGGCGCGGCACATCCCAGGGAACGCGGCCGTGGTACAGCACGGGGTCACGGGGCTGCTGTTCGCAAACCCGCAGGTAGGTGGCGCTGCCCTCCCCCTCCCGCTGACTGCCCACGGGACCCATAGGGTTGGAGGGGAGAGGATGTGCCACCCTTCTGGAACTGCAGTGGGGCGAGGGTCACCCTGCCTTGCCAGCTCGACCCTGCAGGCCCCCAGACCAGCATCACGGGACCCCCGGCAGGCAGGGGCTGGCACAGCTGCTACTCGGTCACCGGGAGCTTCTGAGCACCTCGAGGCCCCGCCTCCAGGGAGACCTCTTGCCGCCCACCCATACCCACGCACACATGTGCCCATCCTGGTCCCTGGGCACACGTGCACACGCGAGCCCATCCTGGTTCTTAGAGGCCAGGCTTTGGGGGTCGTGCTGCGTCCCCGGCCTGCATTGCTCAGGTGTGGAAGCACGTCCGGGCGGGATGGAGGCAGAGACGACCCCCCCAACCCTTCTCTCACCCCCAGGAGTTCCTCCAGCTGGCCCGGAGGCTGGTGCGCGACCCCGCCCTGGAGAAGGAGCTCGTGGTCCACGGGAAGGAGTACGTGCGCAAGTGCCACTCGTGGCAGGCGGAGCGTGACACCTACCAGCGCCTCGTGCAGCGCCTGCAGGGGCCGGCGCCCTAGGCCCCCCACAAAACGCGAGCCTGGCCTGGCACACGCGCTGGCCCCAGGACACCCGCAGCCCCCTCGGGCACTTTCCCAGCAAGCCTGATGACCGGGCTGATGGCCGGCTGGGGACGTTGTGGGTGTGACTGACCGTGGGCCGGCCAGGACACTCCCTTCTATCCACACCGTCTCCACGTGTGGCCGCGAGGGTCCAGCCAGCAGGACCTGTGGCCCCTGCATATGCCCCTCCTGGGCTGCCCCCATGGCACCTCCTGAACACCGCCATGATCTTCTCCCAGGGCAGCTGGCAGCGGGGTGGCCCTGGGTGTGCCTGAGCGGGCCCCTGAGAGCAGGCCCCGACCACCTGGATGCTCCTGTCCTGCCCGCCCACCGGGCACTCCAAGGAATAAACCATCTGCCGACTCCTCACTCCGGCCCGCCTCCCTGGGGATCTCTGTGCGCACCTGGGCCTTGGCGGGGGTGATGGGTGCTCTGAGCCCACCTGGATGGCTGGGCTGCTTGCCGCGTTGGGGCTGCCATGTCCCCAGGAGAGCGGGAGGAAGACCGGGCCTCAGGGGGTGTGGGAAGGGGTGGGCAGTGGGCAGTGTCCAGTGCGGGTGGTGATGATCCTGCCTGCAAGAACACGCTGTCGTCTGGGCCTCCCTGAGCATAGGACTGTGTCAGTGTCTGTGTGTGTACATGTTCATGAGTGCATGGCATGCACACATACGTGCACGTGCATATGTGGACACAGCACAAATGTGCACGCACATGTTTATATTCATATGGACATGCGCATGCCTGTGTGTATACGTGTGCACATAGGCACATGCATATATATGTGCACACGTGTGCAGTTGTGCTTGTGCACACATGTGTAAGGATGCATGTATACATGCATGTGTGTATATATGTGTGTCCATGTGTGCGTGTACGTGCATGTGTCCATGTGTGTAGTGTGTGCATGTGTCTGTGCGTGTGTGTGCGTGTGCATGTGTATATTGCATGTGTGGAGGGGGGGTTCTGCTTCCTCCCCAGCCTGCTGTGTCCTGGGTCTGGGGTCCCTGCCTGTTTCTTTGAGGCAAGCCCCCCGCCCCATTGCAGATGCTGGCCCTGGTCCAGGTGCGTGATGGGGCGAGTGAGGGCACTGGTGTCCCCTGTCCCTGCCTGTCCTGTGTTTCTTCCCCAGAGGCTGCTCAGTGGCTGTGTCCGTCCCCCAGGTCCTGCCTGTGTCCCCAGACGCCGGAGGCACTGCAGGACACTGGGTGCAGGGTGGGGTGGCCCGGCCTCAGCCTAATTGGGGAGTGCCCGGGGTTCCTGGTTCAGCTGACCCGTCTGACTCTGCCCCTGAGCCCCATTCTGGGCCACGGGTCTGTGTGGAACAACGGCGGGTGTGGGACCCTGGAACCCCGAGGGACCCATTGTGCTTAGCGGCTTTAGCACACAGCAATGGTGCCTGCATGTGGCGAGTCCTGGTGCTTGGCCATGCCCACCCTGCAGCCCTTGGGGTGGGGGGGAACGGAGCCCCTGGCTGACGCATCTTGCTCAGGGCTACTTCTTTTTTATTTATTTTTTTTTCTTTTTGGGTCACACCCAGCAATGCACAGGGGTTACTTCTGGCTCTGCACTCAGGAATCACCCTTGGAGGTGCTCAGGGGACCATATGGGATGCTGGGAATCGAATTCCAGTTGGCCGCACGCAAAGCAAACGCCCTACCCTCAGTGCTATTCCTCAGGGCTACTCCTGGCTCTGCTCAGTCAATTCTGAAGGTCCTGTCCCCTGCCCCCGCAGGGCAGGGCAGGGCGGGGCCCAGGGTGCAGGTTCCAGGGGCACCTTTGTCTCTCTTGGCTCCGGGTGGCTGCAGTTTCTCCCAGCACAGCTCCGCCCGCCTCCATCCCCCCCCCCCCTCAAGCTGGATCGGAGGCTGGAAGCAAGGCAGGGGTCCTCAAACCCCCAGCCCACTGCCATCTCGGCCTACAGTGGACGCCACATGGACAGAAACTCACCAGCGGCTGCCGCGAGACCAACCTGTCTTGTGCCCCTGCGACCGTCTCCGCTCAGGGCCGACCACAGCAAGTGCCGGGTGAGACACCAAGATTGCCACGGTCACTTTCCAGAGTGGCTTCAAACATCTCCATAATGGCGACAAAACCAAACCGCCTGTAATTTCCAACAAACCGGTTGATTCGCACCAACCACACTTATAAAATAGGCAATGAAAGTTGGAATCTGTGTTTTTGTTGCCGAATATTAAACAGAATCAGGTAACAATTAAAGTTCAGCTGGGAGCGCTCTACGCTGCACAGGTCCTCCGTGGGATGACACAACGGGGCAGCTCCGTGACCCGTGACCTCGCGGCCCTGGTCCAGGGTTGACCACAGACCCCAGGGCCACTGAACAAGTCCCCTCCCCCAGGGTGCCAGCCCGGGGACCTGTGCCCAGGCCAGCTCGGTCTGCTCCAAGAATCGGGGTGCAGCCCTGAGGCCCCAGCCCTCCTCTGCATTTCCTGGTGGCCTGGCTAGACGCCCTCTGTCCCTGTCACGCCGTGGGGGGTGGCAGCTCCTGTGTCTGGCCGTGTTGTGGCCCCCATTAGCGACCCCCCCTTCGGCCTTATCTCATGGCAGAAGCTGCTTGGGTGGCCCCCACGCCCAGAGAAGGCTTCGTCCTGGCCCAAGGTGCTTCCAGTTCAGCCGCCAGCAGCCGCGGGCACTGCCCCCTGAGAGGAGGCCGTGATTGCACTGGGCCAGGGGCACGAAGGCGTCTCCCCTGGAAACCAGGGCCAGGAGGGCAGATGCTTCGTCTGAGAGGCCGTCCGGTGTCCCGCTGCCCCGTGGTACACCGGCAGGGCAGGACAGGTCGAGTCGGGGCCCAGGTCCTGCAGTGCCCTGGCAGCTGGCAGAGGGGTCCCACAGCTGGGTCTGCACACAGAGCCAGGCCTGTGCCTTGCACCTTTCCCTCCCAGGGGGCAGCCTGTCCCCAGCTCAGCGCTGTCCCCAATTTGCCGACACCTCCCTTGTCCTGCTCATTCATCACCTTTCCTCTGAGGCCCTGGGGTCTCAGTCAGAACATTTTAGCAGCCCTGTCCAATTTGACCAAGTCTTGGAGGGGAAAATGCCGAGGAGGAAGGGAGGGGAGGGGAAAGAGGAGGGAGGAGGGGTGACGAGAGAGGGGAGACAGGGAGGGAGGAGGGAGGGGGAAGGGGGGGCCAGTGATTGTGAACCGGGTGGGGGAGGAAAGGCCACCTCCCAGCTGGCCCGTCCCCACTGCGTCCTCCCCTGCTCCCAGCCTCTTCTCAGGCCAAGCAGATGCCCAGAAGCCAGGCCCGAGCTCCAGCACGTAGACAAAGCCAAACCCTGGGCGGTGGGCACGAGCAACTGTGTCGCAGGTCTGCTGGGCTCCTGCCGCCCTGCTGGGGACCTCTGAGTGGCTGGGGGCAGTGGCCACGTCAGCCTCAAGGCCGGGAACACCGGGGGTCTGACCCGCAGGGTACTCCAGGCTGCTGAACCCTCAGCCCGCGAAGGGGCTCCTGGATGCTTCCCCGCACACCCAGGGGTCTCCAGGCCCGCAGACAGACTCAGGGCATGGATGGTGAGTTGTGGGGGGAGACTGGGAGTCTCCGGGATCTCGCTACAGTTGGCAGGCTCGACCTGGCGGGGCAGATGTCCCAGGCGCTGTATCTCAGCACCCGTCCCAGGGGCTGTGCGAGAAAGAAGCTCCCGGTGTCTGGCTCAGTCGGGGACTCACCTACGGGAGAGCAGGGCCTGGTGGGTGGTCCCTGGGGAGCAGAGCTCAGTGCCTGTCAGCCGGTGGTGGTGACCTTCCCACCCATGTCTCCAGGCGCTAATGAGACTCCAATGCGCTCTCCAGGGACTCCTCCAGGCTCTGGAGTCAGTGCTCCGCTCCTCGGCTCAGCGTGCCCGCAGGGAGAGAGCGGACCTTGCCCCTGCCACCCCAGGGTGCCCCCAGAGTCAGCCTGACCCCCAGCCCCGCAGTCCAGCTCGCCCGTGGGGCTGCCCGGCTCAGGTTGGGAAGTGGGGCCTGGGGTCAGGGACGCCCCTCACAGAGAGGTCCATCTGGGCAGATGGGGGCAGGGCTGGTGCCTTCCTGCCACTGGGGACCCCGAGAGCCACCGTCTCTGCACGGAGGGCCGGAGTCTCCCTGCATCTCCGGACTTATGGTCACCTCCCGGGGGACACGCCCAGGGCAAGAGGCTGTGTCCATCCACCTGGAAAAACCACTAGATCGTGTAAGAAGATCCTGGGGGCGGATCAGTTGCCTGGATCCCACTAAGTGGGAACTCAATTTATTCCATGATGCTTTCCACACCCAGGCTGTCATCTGTTCACTGTCTGACTGTCTGTTTACATCTGTACACCCACTCAACAACAACCCATCCTCCCATCCACTCACCACCCACCATCCACCCACTAGCCACCCACCACCCACCCACCCATCCATGCATCCACCCACCCATGTATCCATGTATCCACCCACCTATCCACCCACCCACCTACCATTCACCCACTATTCATCCAACAACCATCCATCCACCCCCCATCTATGCACCCACCCATCCCCCCATCCCTCCCTCCACCCATCCACCACTCCAACCCCCACCCCATCCATCCGCCCCTGCTCCATGAGCCCCGCCTATGCGTGCTTGCTGACTGTAGGACGTGGTGCTAGGCCCTGGGCTTATGGAGAACAGGTGGGACAGGCCGCGCTCTCTGGAGCTCTATTACCCAGGGAAGATGACCTCATGGGGAGGTTTGCTCTCACGCTGCAGATGCAGACACCCTGAGCCAGGAGCAGGTGGAGGGAGGGTGACTCAGGGGCAGGGAAGCTCTTGACGACTGATAGAGGGCTCCCCGGTGCACTAGTTCTGGGGGAGCAGGGCTCTAGAAGGCCAAGACTCACGTCAGGGACTGAGGAGGGGCAGGGCGATAAGGACGCGGGGCCCCGGGGCCCCGGGCTGAGTCCAGAGTTCACATTCCCCTCGAGGATTCACGGGCACCCGCAGGAGCACTAGACTCTGGGCCAAGATGGGGCCTGGATTATGCGCCCGGAGGTCACCCTGCTGATGCTCCACTTAGCCGACACGTCGAGCCCAGAAGCGCAGGGGGCAGGGGGCAACTGAGGGTGGCCGTCGGGCAGATGGTGGCCACAGTGCTTGGAGGCCGTGGCAGAACTGGCCCGCAGGCTGGGTGCAGGGACTTGGGGTCACTGTGAGGAATTCCTGGTCCCGGGGATGTGCCAACCCTGGGGTGCTCTGACGGAACACGCCGGGCTCGCGTCCAGAGCAGAGACCTTGGGCAGGGGCTGCCCAGACGCACCATCATGCCGGAGTTGTCCTGAGTACCAGGTGACACAGGCGGAGAGATGAGGACGAGGCGGAGGAGACAAGTGTCCATGACTGCTCCCGAGGGTCACCACGGAACTGACGCCAAGCTCCCGCACTCCCCTCGGGAGCCCACCCTCCTCCCGGAGTCTGTAAGGGCTCCCTGGCCCCCAGAGTTGGAGGTCCCACCCGCCATCCATGCTGGCCGAGACCAGATCCCTCTTAGCGGGTCACGAGCTCTGGGGTCCTGCGCTGTGACAGCCCTCAGCCTCAGCTCTTGACTGACCGGCTCTTGGAGCATTTCTCGGGGGCTGTGTCAGTGGCCCTCCCTCCTTGCCTTTCTAACTGGGGGCATGTCCTGGAGTCCAGGGTGCTGGATACTGAGCCCAGCGACTGGGGAGTCCCGAGCTCCTGCCTGCCATCCTTTTGCTCAGAGCTTCCCAGGACCCCGGGACCTGTCACTGTGAAGGGTCAACCGTGGTCCCGAGTTCAGGTGTGCCCCTGGCCCAGTCCGGCTGTGGCCCTCCTGGAAGTCAGGTGGAGGCGCCCATGTGGGTGCCCCTGACCCCACGGGTTCTGGTGGGCAGGGGACCAACCCACATGCACTCTGCCTGCAGACAGGGGCCGTCTCCCAAGCCTGTGTCAGGACCCTGAAATATTCTGGAGGTTTCCTCCACAGCCCTGGCAGGGGCCACTCCTTCCCATTCCTGACCCAGCTCTGACCTTGGGCTCTGGGGCCAGTCCGGGGCCAGCCAGGTCTCCTCCTGCTCTGTGAGACCCAACTTGGCAGCTCAGGGCCACTGCCTGGATAGAAGCCGGCATCCCCCGGGTGGCTGGCCCCATCTCTGGGGGTCCAGGAGGGAGACGCAGTCACAAGGGGACCAACAGCCACTCTTTATTCACAGCCAAAGGACCCTGTGCAAAATCTGCTTTGAGACCCCTTGCAGGCAGCCAGCCCAGCCCAGGCAGGCCTCCCCCAAGCCGCGTCCTGCCCCCCGAGACACAGGCAGGCCACGTGAGAACAGGTTTCACCCCGACAGCCTCCTGCTAGGTGCTGGTCTGTTATCACGGAAACGATTCCCCTGCCGTCAGGGGAGAGCATGGTGGGAGGGCAGCTGGACGCCCACCTTCCCGCCGGGCCAGCACGGCTCCTTGCGGACACACGTGCAGGAGATGGACGCGGAGGGCCGAGGGCTGGCTCTCACAGAGGTTCAATGTCTGCCTGGGGGGACCCACATCTGGGTCCTGTGAGGCGCAGCGACACCCACCCAGCCAGAGGCTGCTGAGACGCACCTGCACCTCCTGGGCCCTGCGTCCCCAGACATGCAGAGGGGACCCAGCACATATGTGGAAGGTCGGGGACCCGGGACCCAGCCGCGCCCACAAGGGAGACAGGCGGCACATCTGCACATGGTGTCACTGTTTGTACTCACGTGCCAGCACACATTATTGCCTCTGCTCTTGTCCCTGCACACACGTCTTCTACACGTGTAACAGTACTTACATGTTATTGTTCTTACACACATTATTGCCTCTGCACTTGTCCCTGCCCACACACGTCTTCTGCACACGTGTAACAGTACTTACATGTTATCATTCATACACACATTATTGCCTCAGCACTTGTCCCTGCCCACACACATCATCTACACACATGTAACAGTACTTACATGTTACTGTTCATACACACGTGCCAACACACATTATTGCCTCTGCACTTGTCCCTGCCCAAACATCATCTATACACACATGTGTCACTGCCTACATGTGTCTCCAGCCACGTGAGTTATTGCCTACACACATGTGGTTACCTGCACATGTGATCTATACATATATGTCCCTGTCTAGACACACATGTAATTGTACATGTGTGGCCCTCTACACACATCACTATTCATACACATTTGTTTCTACCTCTACATACATTCACCATCTACATACACCACCACTCATACATGTTTATCACTACCTATACATACGTGTCACTGCCTATATACGTGTGGCTGCTCAACACACTTATCACAATCTCTGCACACGTGCTCCTGTCTATAAATATGAACCACTGTCTCCACATGCATCCCTATACCCATGTGCCCCATCTATACACGCATGTCACTGTGGCCACGTCACCATATACACACGCGCCCCTGTCTACACACGCATGTCACTGTGACCATGTCACCATATACACACACGTGTCCCTGTCTACACACATGTCACTGTGACCACATGTCATCATATACACACATGCCCTGTCTACACACACATTACTGTGACCACATGTCACCATATACACACATGCCCCGTCTACACACACATCACTGTGACCACATGTCACCATATACACACGTGTCCCTGTCTACACATGCATGTCACTGTGACCATGTCACCGTATACACACATGTCCCTGTCTACACATGTCACTGTGACCACATGTCACCATATACACATGTGCCCCATCTACACACGCATGTCTCTGTGACCACGTCACCATATACACACGTCCCTGTCTACACACGCATGTCACTGTGACCATGTCACCATATACACACGTGTCCCTGTCTACACCCGTGTGCCCCACATCTTCCCTTGCTACTGCCTGTGTTCCGTGCAGATGAGAAGGGCAGCCCTTGGCCGGACAGGCTGGCCTCACGGCCAGTTCAACCGGCCAGTGAAGGTAGGGGAGGGGCTGCGTCTGGCCTCACAGTCACCGCCTCTGCCAGGGGAAGCTGAGCTCGGACTGTCCAGGGCTTTAGTTCGTGCAGAGAGGGCCCGCGGAGCCAGCAGGAGGCTGTCCTGACCCTTTCCCCCGGGCCGAGGGGACCCTGCCTGCAGGGGAGGGAGACGCTCCCTGAGCTCCGGCCTCTGCTGGGCCTACCCGCGGGCCGTGGTGGGGGTCTCTGTCCACTACATCCCTGTGGTGGGGCCACATGGTGGCCTCCCGGATGATGGCCATGAGTGTCGTGCCTGGCGGGCAGGGGGGCGCAGCCTGCACAGCCCGAGCGGGCGAGAGAGCCTGGTCCTGGCCTGGCATTTACCTGGACAGGGGCTGGCCTTGTCCATGCCTCCTAGGTCCGTGGGGGAAAAGGCCAGTGCACACTGCCCGGACATGGGAAGCTGGGCCAGCCCCACCTGCACCACTCAGCACCGGGGCGCCCCAAGTGGCCACTGAGGGGACCCATGAGCCCTGTGGGCTCAGACACGGGAATCTCAGTGCCGTCCCTCTGAGGCCTCCAGTCCCGCCCTACAGTGGACATCAACCCCCGGGGGGCCGGCTGCACCCACGAACATCAGCCCCAGGTGGATGTGGCTCACACGCCTTCGTGCGGGCGCTCCCAGCTGCAGAGCTGGCCCTCACGGGCCCCCACGTCCACACCCTGGCAGCCCCAGCGGCCAGTGCCCTCCCCGTGGGTCAGCGTGGCGGGGCCCCCGGCGTCGGGCGAGGCGGGGATGAAGGTGGTGAATGTCACTCGTTTTCGCTTGGACGTGGGCGAGGCAGGGGGCTCGGCCTTCCGCTCCCTCCCGCCGGGGGCCGGGGCGCCCACGGCCCTGCACAGCTGCCCGTTGGGGCTCGTCGGGGAGCCGCTGGCCAGCAGGTACTTGCTCTCCTCGAAGTCCAGGCCCCTGTCCAGGGCCGTGGTCTGCTCCTCGGGGCAGGAGGCGAAGCCGGCGGGGTTCTCCAGCAGCTCAGCCCGCTGGCTCAGGCCCACCCAGTCGTGCGCGTGGCTCACACCCTCCGCCTCCTCGAAGGGGCCCCTCTTGCGCCGGTACCGGAGCGCGAAGGCGGCGCAGTTGGCCAGGAAGAGCAGGATGGCCAGGCAGAAGACGCCCAGCAGCGCGTACATGCCCACCTCCAGGTCGCTCAGCCCCTGGGCAGCCTGGGCCAGTTCGTCCTCCGCTGGGGCTCCGCCACTTCCAGGGTGGCCCCTCGGGCCGGGGAGGCTGGTGAGGCCGAACGGGACAGTGTGAGGCCCCTCCTCGTCCTGCCGTGGGAAGGCAGGCCTCTGTGTGGCCAGGCCTCGGCCCTGCGGGAGGCCCACGGATGAACTACTGGCCGCTGCACCCCCTCGGCCGCCCCATTCCTGCAGGGGCCAGCGGGGCCGGCGGTCACCGGCTCCGGTCTCCAGGGGGGCCGCTGCCCCCGTGTACCTGCCCTCGCTGGTGTTGGGGCGGACATCGTTCGGGCCGAACTTGACCTTGAGGTCGGCCGTCCCCGCGGCCAGCACGCTCCTGCGCTTGGACTTCTGGCACTGCTCGCTAATGGCCAGCTCCACCTTCACCAGGCCGCCCTGCCCTTCCATCTCGGCGGCCACCGTGGGCCACCTGGACTTGGGGTCCTGCCGGACGGACACCACCTTCTCGTCTAAGGACGTGGCCAGCAGGGAGAAGTCCTTCCCGTCGTAAATGTCCAAGGGCGTGACAGCCCCGTCACTGAACTGGACCCAGCAGCTGAGGACGGCTTCCTACGGGAGAAGGAGGGGCCGTGGGTGGGCGGCAGCGGGTGGGCCGGGCCGGGAAGGGCCGGGCGGGACCGAGACCCGCAGAGATGTGTGAGGGGACGGGCTGTAGACCTGAGAGCCGGGCTCACGAGAGACTCACACGCTCCGGAGTGGCACAGCTCAGGACACCACCACAGGCATCCCCACCTCAGTTGAAAGGAGTCATGGCAGGGCCAAGATGGTGTGAAGGCATCTGCCCACATGTGGCTAGCGGGGTTCAGGCCTGGCACCCGTCAGGGCCCTTGAGCCCCACCAGGAATGATCCCTGAGCACAGAGCCAGGAGTAAACTCTGAGCACTGCTGGGTGGAGCACAAAATTTTTTAAAAAATGGGCTATTTTAGCCTGGGGATTAGGCAGGCTTGGAAGGAGGGAAGGGACACCCCTTGCAGTCACCCACCTGTGTGATCCCCCGTGTGACTCTCCTGTGTGACCTCACCTGTGTGATTCCCTGTGTGACCCTGCTGTGTGATCTTACCTGTGTGACCCTCCTGTATCCTCACCTGTATGATCTCACCTGTGTGACCCTCCTGTGACCTCACTTGTGTGACCTCACCTGTGTGATCCTCCTGTGTGACCCTCCTGTGTGACCTCACCTGTGTGACCCACCTGTGTGACCTCACCTGTGTGACTCATCTGTGTGACTCACCTGTGTGACCCTCTGTGTGGCTCCTTCTGTGACCTCACCCGTGTGACCTTACCTGTGTGACCTCACCATGTGACTCACCTGTGTGACCCCCCTGTGTGACATCACCTGTGTGACTCACCTGCCAAGTAACCCTCCCAAGTGGCCCCCTGTGTGGCCCCTGTACTGCGCCTGGCTCTCCCCGTCCGGGCCGCCCGTACCTGCTTGGGCCTCTGCAGCAGCTCCTGGGCTGTGGCCGTGGCAAAGACAGCCTTGCTGCTTCCCGGGCTGGGCTGCAGGGACAGGGAGAGCCCTGCCACCAGCTGCACCCCGAGGTCGGTGATGGCCACCTTCTCCTCCAGCACCGTGATGGTCTTCTCGGCCAGGATGGCGTCCGACAGCGGGGACAGGATCTGGGGCAGAGCAGGACTGTGAGGCCCGGACACACCCGCAGGGGCAGGGCGGGGGGGGGAGGGGAAGGCTGACAGGGGAACGTCCACGCTCCTGGCTATTCCTTCAAGATACTACAGGTCATGGAGATACACAGTGCATCATGGGACAGGGAGCCGTCACATATTAGTAGGAGCACTCGTGTGTTATGGGACAGTTGCAACACGTGTGGATCATGGAACAGCTGGAACGTACATGTATCATGGGATTAACAGGAACATACATATGTCAAAGGACAGCGGTAAACATGTGTCACGGGATAGCTGGAACACACGTGTATCAAGGGGCAGCTGGAACTTACACGTGTCAGAATAATAGGAACATATATGTGTCATGGGATAGCAGGAATATACATGTATCATGGGTCACATGACAGTCGAGGCATGAATGTCTCATGACAGTGGATGCATGTATGTGCCACGTAGCAGGGCATACATGTTTTTGTGACAGTGTGAGCGTGTATGAGTCACATGATGAACCATGTGTAGGGTGACAGTTATGTGTGTCCTGTGGTGGTGGCAGGCAGGGGTGTGCTGCATGATGGGGCAGGGGCTGTCCACGCTCACGTGGTCCCATGTCTGCTGGCACGAGTGTCCCTGCACAGGGCCCGCAGGCAGGGGCCGGGCAGGGCAGGTGCTGGGCTTGAGGTGCCCGTGTGGGCAGGGTCCGGGTAGGGCTGGGCAGGGCTGGGCTCGAGGTGCCCATGTGGGCAGAGGCTGGGCAGGGCCGGGAGGGGCTGGCGCTGGGCATCGCGCCCCCCGCCCTCCGAGGATGACAGGCAGCCCGGCCCATTGGGGTCCTACCTGCAGCGTGGCCATGCCTAGCTCTTGGCCCACCAGGACGTGGCCCTGCTGCAGTGCGGCCACCCGCGGCTCGTCCACCTGCATCGAGTCCCTCACCAGCTCCGTGATGTCCACCTGCCAGTCAGGGCCCAGCAAGTGCGCGGGCGGTGCCCCGGGCTCGGCCGCCTCGGCCACGAACTGGGCAAGGACCCGCACAGTGGCCCGCTGGAACTGCAGGGCGCAGCCGCGGGCCCTGCGCTGCTCCTCCTCCTCCTCCTCGTCCTCTGGGCCTGGCCTGTGGGTCAGTAGGGGTCAGCGTGGTGAGCAGAGCCCAGGGCTGGCCCCCCCCTCAGCACTCCTGCCATCGGCGAGCCTGGAGCCCGGCGAGGGCCGGCATGTGCAGAAGTGGCCACCGGGACTCTGGCCCCCGGTTCTGCCTTAGATCAGCCCTTGGGCCCTTGCCTGTAGCCCCGGGGAACTTCCTGTCACCCGAGACCCCTTCCTGTCCCCCAGCCCAGGCGTCCTCCCGGGTGCAGACACGGCCTCCTCGGCCCTCTCACCTCCTCCGAGAGGAGGAGCTGGACTCTGGTCTCAGCCTGGGGCCACAGGCGAGGGCCCAGGGCCCTGGTGTGTGTGGCTACACCTCACAGGGCAGCCCTAGAAGAAGCCTCCAGGCTCCGCAGGCCCAGTCCAGCAGGTGGGGACTGGGCCGCTGTCCATGGGGCTGCTGTCCTGGCCCATGTCCTCTCTGGCATGAAGAGTCCAACAGTCGCACCACAGCACGGTGGGGATGGTCCCCTGGATGGAGGCTTGGGGAGGCACTGAATCTCGGAGGCAAAGGTGGGGGCTGCGGGGGCCGCAGGGCCACACTGTCCAGCTGGACGGGTCTCTGGCCTTGACCCTAGGGGTGTGGGGCCAGGGCTGGGGGACCCGGGAGGGGGCGGGGTCTTGAGGCCGCACCCACCTCCTGCTGGCCGCGACGGGCACGCGCCAGCCCTTGATCTGGTTGAGCTCAGGGTCGGAGACGTCAATATGCAAGGGCAGCCGCGGCGCCCAGACGGTCAGCGCCAGAGCCCGGCTCAGCTCCTGGTGGCGGAAGAACGCCGTGGCCCCGACGCGGCCCCGCAGCTCCTTCCCGTTGGCGAACACGGAGTCGCAGCGCTCGGACACCTGCGGGGACGCGGCCCTCAGGAGCGGTCACTTCCCCAGCCCTGCCCCATGCGGAGGCTGCCTGCATGGCTGAGGGCTGCAGGAGGTGGGGTCTTCACGGGGGGGGGGGGGGGGGGGAGGCGTGCAGCAGTTGGCGCGCGGCAGGACAGGCACTCCCGACTAACGCCAACTCCCGCTTGGTTTCTCCAGGGCCCCGTGACCTGGCCGGGACAGCCCTGCCCGGCTGCCCAGGAGCACGCGAGCAGTTTCTTCCTCAGCGGCAGGCGAGGGCAGCGAGGCCTGGGCGGGCGTGAGGGTCTGTCAGTGCGAGGGGATGCGAGAAGGAAGCCTGGGCGCCCGTCTGCGGTGACCTGGGCCACTTCAGGGGCCGTGCAGGCAGGAGGGAGGGACAAGGCGAACCCGGGGGCTGAGGGGATGGTAGGGGACAGCAGCGGACGGCAGCGCCACCCCCGCCCCGCCCCCAGCGCCGACACTCTGGCTGCAGACCTCATACTCCGAATCTCCGCCAGCCCTGCCCAGCCCTGCCCACTCCTTCCCTCTGGACACCACAGCCCAGACTCGCCGCCCAGGGCCATGGTGAGCAGGGAGATCAGAGGGTGGTCAGAGGCCAGTGTCCATAGCACAGATGGACCCCAGACTCTCCCAGAGCCGCGAGCTCTCCTGGAGCAAGGAGTTTTGTACACAATTTGGCCTCTGCACACATAGTGCCCTGGACAAAAGCCCATGGACTCCTATTCTGCAGTGTCCAGCTGCCCACAGACACCTGTTCCCCAGCAAACCAGCTGCCCACAGATGTCTGTTCCCCAGGTGTCTGGCTGCCACCAAAGCGCCACCTCAGCCCCTCTGGACACTGGAACTTGCATGAAACTTGGCCGTGCATCTGCTCATTTGTATGTCAGAGCCCACTGACCACCCTGCCTGGTCCCACCACCATCGGGGGACCCACTGACCCCCCTGTCCCCCCTGCCCGGCCCCGGTGCCCTCGGGGTAGCTTCTGCTTGCTCGTGCCTTTTCTCTGAGTCTGGGTCTCTGTGGGAGCAGATGGTGCTTCTCTGACATTTCACAGCATAATCCTAATCCCTGCCACTGCTGGTCAGTATCTCTCCCCTCCCTGGCCCACGTGGCCCCTCCCCTTCCCACGGGGGGGGGGGGAGGGCGGCAGGGCTGGCCAGGTCGAGGGCGTGCCCAGAGGCTGTGCCTGGTGCAGCCAGGCAGACACTCAGCCTCAGGGGCCAGGTGCACACCCCCCCTCCCCCGGCCGTCTGCCTCTCAGAGCCCACAACCCCCAAGGGACAAGTTCTGGTCATGGTCATGGTCCCCCAACCCGTCTGGGGGCAGCTCACCAGCTGACCGTGGGGCTTGAGCGCCATCCCGAGGCCCAGCCTCCATGTCCAGCTTGTCCCCAAGACCCGCGAATTCCAGAAGGTTCCAGGAAAAAAAAATCACGGCCATGCCAGTGGCCAGACGCAGGCCTCGGCATCGACCCACCTGCTCCATTTCCTGCATGTGGCTGGGACCCGTTAGTGCCCCGACTCAGCCCGATAATTAAAAGCTGCAGACAACACGCACAAGCTTTGCTCTTAGAAACTTGGGATGAAAAAACAAAATTGAAAGCAAATATTTCCTTAGTATTCCCAAACTTTTAGGCTGGAGGACAAACACTGAACTTTCAGCTCAGCCTCGTTTGGACCACCCCCCGCCGGGGGCGTCACGCAGAGCGATTACCGTCGTCACCAGAGCAGGTCTGAGCCAACCCACCCTCCACTGTCGCCTGTGTCTGACAAGCCATTTAAAGAACACTCTTCAGGAAAAAAAAAACACCGTGTCACTGAGTAAGGGGAAATGATGCTTTTCTTTGGGAGATGCCTGCCAGGAGCTGTTTGTCGGAGCGGAGGAGCAGGGCTGCGTCTGTCACCTGCGCACACACCTGTGGGCGAGGCAGGCGCAGCCATGAGGGGGCTCAGCTGGGGCCCACTGGGGCCGGCAAGCTCGCCACTGGGACCTGCTGGGCCCCTCCCCAGACTCTGGGGCCCGGGGCCACTTCCTGGGTGGCCAGGAGAGCCGCCGGGTCCCTGAGAGGCCCCCTGGGCTCTCCGTGTCACAGTCCCACCCCTGCCTCCTTGGTTCTTCTGCCTGTGGCTGGCGCCGTGGCAGCCGCCTTGAGAACATGAGGTACCAGCGGGCCGTGAGCAAGAACTCGGCCTGTGGATCGGTGGCGGGAGAGTGGCTAAGGCCGGGCTCCCTGTCTCCTGCAGAGTGCCCACATCTGCTCCGGCTCCGAACACAGGTCACAGGTCACAGGTCGCAGGTCACAGGTCACAGGTTGCGGGTTGCAGGCAGGTTTTGTTTCTGATCTCGTGGGTGAGGCTGCGGTCAGTCGCATGGGCCCTTCCACCCCAGCACAAACGCAGCTTCCCTCCTTCTTTTGACCTGGGACCACTCCTGGACCCCTCCCGAGCCCCCTCCCCCGGCCTCCCTGGGTGGCCGCTCCGCTTCCCCTCGCCTGTGGTGGAGCGACCGTGGGGGCCTGGCACTCAGTGGTGACGGAAACCCCAGTGGGGAGCGGGGTGGGACCCAGCCCCACCCTCCTGGGCATAGAGCAGCCGCCGGCCGGGCGCAGGGTGACGTGGTTGCGAACGGCTGAGGCCGTTGGACACCCGGGGCCGGTCAGAAGAGAAACTCTGAGAGGCTCAAAGGAAGCTTCTCGCCTCCGACCCACCTGCTGCCCTGAGCCCGGCCCGAGCTGCACACCAGCGTAGAGATGCTCCCAGATGCTCAGTGTGTCTGTGGGTGGCCAGCCCCACCTGCTCCCCACACAGGAGCCCCCAGCCCCAGGCTAGACTGACGGCTCCCGTTGCTGTGACACGTTTGGCCTGCAGGGGGCGTGCACAGAGCCGGCCCTTGGGGAAGCAGCAAGGAAGGTGCTGGAGCCTCCGGTTCCTGCTTCCTGTTAGCCCTGGCTCCAAAGAGGAGCGAGTGTGCATATGTCCAGACACATGTGAGCGCATGTGCGCATGCATGTGGAAGAGTGTGCATGTGTGTGTGTGAGTGCAGTTGTGCACGTGGGTATTGGACATCAGCATGGGGCACCCATGTCTGTGCCGGGCACATATGTGTGCAATGAGTGCACACAAAGATGATGCGTGTGCATGCATGGACACGTGTGTGCACATGTTCTCTCTGCACACGTGTAGTGAGCATGCGCGTGGTGAGCGTGTGTGTGTGTGTGTGTGTGTGTGTGTGTGTGTGTGTGTAGCAGCTCAGGCAGTGAGGCTAAGTGTGAATGCGCCCAGGGCCAATTCAGGGAGCAGACAGAGCCACTGGGCCTGGATGTCCACCTCCCAGTGACAGCCAGGCCAACGCCAGCTTTGGGGGCCGCACCCTGCGGGGGGGTTTCCCGCTGCTCCTTCTCTTGCGCCCATCCCAGCATCCTGGGCTGAGCCCCCCTTCCCATGAGCTCAGCCCACACCAGCCACCAGGACCTGGCGGAGCGTGCAGGGCCGACCGACTGTGAGCCCAAGGTGGAAGCTGAAGGCGTGGGGGCACGAGGTCAGATCCTCCAGCCAGAAGAAACGGCTGGTGCCGCCGGTTTCCCTCGAGTCTCCTCAGCAGCTCCCAAACAAGCCTCGCTTCCAGCAAAAGCTGAGCGAGACGGCACCCACCCGTCTCCAAGACGGCAGACTCAGAGCCTTCAGGAGGCGCGGGGTGGGGTGGGGGGAGGGGGGCTTCGCGGGCACTCTGGGAGATGTTACCCGGAGAGAGAGGTTATAGTATCAGCTGGGGGGAAGTCGCAGCTTTCTGCGTGGGCCCTACTGTGACAGGCCCTGCCAGAACAATCCCCGAGGTGCCTCCCCTGGGCCTTGGTCAGCAGTACCCTCGCACCTGCCCTGCCGGACTCGTCCACTCCAGGAGCAACCCACTCCGGCTGCTCAACTGCTGAGAACCATCGCGCGTGTTCAGCACGTTCGAGGACGAGCGCCCCCGCCTCTTGCCCGCCAGCCCTCGGCATCGCAGTTCTGTCTCTTTGCTGATTCTAGACTTTCCCTTTATTTAATTTATTCCGTAACAATTAATTCATTTATCTTGCTCCCTCCAGCATTCCATGCCTGGCTGGCCCCACGACCCTCGCCGAGAGCTCGGGGGGCACCAGGGGTCACTCCTGAGGGACTCCGCTCAGCCACATAGCCGGGGGTCTGCAGCTCTGCCCGGGGAGTGGGGGCTGCAGCTGGGCCTGTGTTCTGAGCTCCGAGCACCTCCCGTCCCCACAGCTGGGTTTTGTCTTTATTTTATTTATTGGCTTTATGGGTCACACCTGGCCGATGCACAGGGGTTACTCCTGGCTCTACACTCAGGAATTACCCCGGTGGTGCTCAGGGGACCATATGGGTTGCTGGGAATCGAACCCAGGTCAGCCGCGTGCAAGGCAAACGCCTTACCCGCTGTGCTATCGCTCCAGCCCTGGGTTTTGTCTTTAAACCTCACCTGGTTTCTGAGTCAGGAGGTCTGGGCTAGAGGTTGCCCTGGCCTCTCTCTCCGCTCCGTGACTTCCCTGGGAACGCCCATGGGCACAGTCGTCCCCACACACAGCTGCTGGGCCCACGGCCTCACAGACACCGCCCCGGACACTGCCGGCCTTGGCCGGGAGTCCAGCCGATGGCCTGAGAAACCACCAATGCCCGAGGCTCTTGGGAGCGTGCGGTTTGCCGTGGCAGGCCGGGTCTTTCCAAACAGAGCCAGAGCCCTGTGTGGCCCGGCTGGGCGTGAGGGCGCCGAACACAGCTGGCCCGCAGCCAGCCCTTGATTGAGTCCGTGGTGGTCTGACCTCCCCATGAATAGTCATGAGCCTCCAAACCCCGTTCTCATTTAAGCGGGTCAGGGGTGAGGGGAGGCGGGCGGGGGCTGCTCTCCGGGGTCCAGCCCCGAGCAGACTGCGAATAAGTGAAGGATGGCAGGCGGGGGCGGGCGGCGGTCCTGAGTCGCGATGGGCTCAGCCGGTGTGGAGCACCAGTGCGGGCAGCAGAGCCACGCCGAGATGGGCGAGGGGCCGCGGCTTCCAACGGAGCCGGGTTTACGGGAAACGCCGGTCCTGGCACCGCGAGTTCCCGGAGCCGTGGCGCGTGCTCAGTTTGTCCCGGCCCCGCGGCCTCTGCCTGGTGCCTAGGCCTGCAGGGTGGATGTGCATGTGTGTGTGGGTGCCCTGCATCCTCACCCTGTCCCTTTTCACTCACGCCCCACAGGTGGGCCGAGTTGCATGCAGCCACTCTCCTAGAGGCTTCTCTGGGCATCCAGGGTGTTGCCCCCACCCTGGCCTCTGCCTGCAGGACAGGCGCTGGGCCTTGGGGACAGAGCCTCCGTCTCGAGTGGCATGACTGAGCTTGCGGTGCGGGAGACTTGACGGGGCTCCCTTGGCTGAGACCCCCTCGGGAAGTGGGGCAGCAGGGTCGTGGGGGGCTGCGTGACCCTGCTGGGACCCCTTCCTCGCCCGCCATGCCCGCCCAACCATGCTGGTACCCAGGGGACCGCGGCTCCCCCTAGGGGCGGCAGCGCCCTGCAGCCTGGGCACACGTGGGTGCTGGCAGGACTTGGGGTGTCTGTCGTCTCACAGCGCCAGCCCGGGAGCCTGTGGGCGAGGGGCACACAGGGAGCAAGATGCCGAGGGGTGCCACAGGGTGGGGGAGACACACGCCCCCTGGGCAGTCACTGCATCCTGCAGGCACCTTGGCCCCGCACCCGGGGCAGCCACCCCAAGGACTGGGGGGAAGGAACTCCCCACAGGGCTGCCTGGATGTCCTCTCGCCCCGAGGGGTTCCCCGGTCACCCCCGCAGCCGGGGTGGGCCTCCCCCCTGCGGGCTCCACACAGCACTGCTCATGTCTGCATCCCTTCACGGCCTGCTACTCTATTTTACGGCAATCCCCGCAGTGCTCAGGGATCACTCCTGGCTCTGTGCTCAGGGGGCCGTGTGGATGCCAGGGATCAAAACTGGCTTGACCATGCGCAAGAACAATGCCTTAGCCCTATGTCGTGGCCTTCCTTCATTTGGGGGATGGTGCTCAGGGGTTACTCCTGGCTTTGTGCTTAGGGGTCATTCTTGGTGGTGCTCAGGGACCACATGAGACATCAGAACTGCACCCAGGTCTGCCGCGTGCAAGGCAAACTCTCTACCTGCTGCAGTGTCCCGGGCCCCAAGGAATCCTTCTTTCCCTCACCCAGGCAAGCGGCTGCCTCTGACATGGAGGTCCAAGCTAAGCCTCCTTCCTGTTCCTCTCTCCCGCCCACGCCACTCAGGTCAAAGGTCGCTGTGCTGGGGGGGAGGGGCGAGGCTGCGGATCCCCTCCGCCATTCTAATCGAGACCCCGTGCCAGTGCTGTGAGCCTGGCGCGGGTGGCCACCGGAGGGAGACTCGGTGAAGCCGCTTTTCCCTGAGTGCTGCTGCTGGTTCGGGTGCTTCGAGGACACCCTGCCTCCTCTTCCCGCTGTGAGCTCCCTGCTGTGGAGGCACAGATGGCAGCTGGCTGAGCCGCACTAAAAGCGCGCCCGCCCGCCGGGTCCACCAGGGTAGTGCCAGAGAGGGGCCGGCATCCGGCTGCCGCCACCAGGGGGCGCCCCAGGCTGGGATGAGCCCAGCCGGGAAAAGGAGGGGCGGGCAGGGGTCAGAGCACTGACCACATGCCCCTCCCCCCCGACCCCCGCTGCTTGGGCATGGGCGCTTCGGCCATTGCAGGTCCTTGCCGTGCCCAGTCAGCCACGACCCACGTGTCCAGCGCGAGTGCCTGTGGAAGGCTTGGCGGGGCAGGCGTCCCCGCCGTGTGCCCAGACCAGAATCCGAGGGGCGGGGAGGCTTCCCAGTGGGGGGGTTTCATCTCCGCAGGACTCAGCATGGCAGCAGGCCCGGCCTGAGAGCGTGGCCACCCTCCCCTCAGCACTGTCCGAAGCCTGGGGCCAGCCCAGACCTGGGGCTCCTCCTACCCTTACCCCACCTCCACAGCACCCCATCTCATGCGGGAGTGGACAGTCAGGCCAGTAAGCCCCAGGCCGCAGCCAGCAGAGGTGGCCCTCACGGCCGATGAGTGGAGGGAAGGGGAGAACGCGGTCCAGGAGGCTGCCGGGAACTGGAGACGGGTGAAGGAGGGGCAGGAAGGAATCAAACTGGGGGCAAGAGGGGACGCAGGAAGGGGGCTGCGGGGGGCAGCAGGGAGGGGCAGTGGGGCAGCAGGGCCCCATGAAGGGAAGGAACCAAGAATCGGTTTGGGAGAAGCCGCCAGGCGGGATGGACCAGGCGGGATGGGCCAGATGGGGTGGGCCAGGCAGGTGGGGCTGAGCTCATAAAGGGATCCCTGCGGAGGGCTTAGGCTGGGAAGCCTCAGGGTGGTCCCGGGGCCTGGTTCTTAGTTTCTAGTGTCATCACGATGCTGCTCATACAACACTGGGCATTGGAGAGCCCCCCGGGCAGCCCGAAGGCCCCCCCCCCCCCCCCCCGCGCATTCATGAACGCCCGATGCAGGGCAGCAAGCAGCGTAAGGAAACCGCGAGGCAGAGTACGTGACTCAGCAGTCAGGGGCCCCACGGTGGGTATAGTCTCCACGTTTGTTTCTTACTATTCTAACAGGATTGCTATATTTAAAACTTACTGCGTACTCTTCATATATATATGTATGTGTATATATATATATTCTAGCGCCGCACTTAACCATTTGTGTGTGTGCAGTGCACCCGTCTGTCATGCTCACACACACGTGCCTATCCCTGTAGGAAGCGAAGCTGTCAGTCTGGCCAAGACAAAGTCACGGCGGCTCTCCAGGCCAGGGGACCTGCTCTGTCACTAAGCCCGCAACCCGGCGGCTGGAGAGTTGGTGTCGGGGAGACCGTGTAGACCCATGGTGGGCTGAAGCCACGGCACTGCACACTCACTCCTGAGCCAGCCTGAGGGGGGCCCGGGTGGCCATGCAGTTGAGCCTGGGGGGCCTGCAAGCCCAGGGGTGAATGCTACTGGCAGGGGACCTAGCTCCTTCTGCGACCCTGGCATGGTGGGGGGGACGGGCTGCAGGATCCGGGGTCCCTCCTGCCGGGAGTCTGAGCGCTGAGTTGGGGCTAGGACACCTCCAGGCTTTACTGTGTGAGTGAGTGACCTGGGTGGGACTCACTCTGCTGGGCGGGAGACCCTGGGGAGGGAAGGGTTTCCCTGCAAACGACCTCCCACGGTGTAGCCAGCCTCTGGCTCAGACCGACGCAGAGTGACCCACGTGCTACTGGCCAGGGGATCCCCCAGCTCCCCCCGGGACCCCCGGGCTCTGTCCCAGCAGGAGCAAGGTGTGGGCCCTCCCAGCTGCACGGTCCAGCCGGGCCACAGCCAGGCACTTGCCTTGACGACGTCTTCGTCCGAGGACCAGCACTCCAGCGAGCCCCGCACCTCAGCCACGGCCCCGTCCTCCTCCACGGCCACCACGCGCACCGGCACGGCCACCGTCCTGCCCGTGAGCACGGCCGTGTTCAGCAGCTCCGCCTCCTAGAAGACACGCACAGCCGTCAGCCCGCTGCGGCCACGTGTGGACTCCCTGGCTGGCCACGGGGTCTTTGCTCGTGGCTCCCCCACACCCTGCCTCCCGCAGGATCCTCACTGCACTGCAAGGCACACGGCTCTGCTGAGTCTGGGGCACAGAGAGGCTCTGTGACCAGCCCGAGGTCACACAGCGCAGAAGCGGTCAGCTCTGAGCCCCAGCCTTGGACGTCACAAGCCTCTACCCCCTCTGCTCTCCCGAGAGCAGGTCAGCGACGCTTGTGCCAGAGCACCCTAGAGGGGGCCGGCAAAGCCCAGGGAACCTTCAACCCCCAGGCCCCATAGCTGGGCCCCCCATCACAGCAGTGAGAGCCTGGGGGATGCAAATGACCACCCGCTCAGAGCCCGGTTGTGCTGCCTAACAGGACAGGCCCTGCCCCTGCACTGCCCAGGCACTGGTGGGGCTGCCACAGTCTTCTCTGCTGACCAGGATTCTGGGAACCAGACTGGACATTCTGGAACGTTCCCGAAGAGCTGGGCAGCATTTCCTGTGCAAACGCTGGTGCTGGTGCTTCCCCGGGTGAGCGCGTAGCACCCTGCAGAAACTGGGCAGAGTCACTGCCCGCGGCCCCTCTGGGGCAGGGGGAGACTTGAGTTCTCACTCACTGCTGGTGCATGCCGGGAGGTGTGGGTTCCCCGACAACTGCTTATCTCCCACGACTGGGGCCCCGACACCTCGTTCACCTCCCGCAACTGGGGCCTCACCACTGCTGGGACAAGACTCCTCTGTCCCCACCCGGAGACTCGCCGCGGATCATGGCAGATCTTCAGCATCACGTTTCAGAGAGAAGCGGCAGCCACGTCATGGATTCCTAACCCGGGTCGACGGGGACGACCCCAGAGGCGGCTGGTGGGCTCAGAGCCGCTCCTCGGGAGGCCATGCAGGCCCGCGGCCCCTGGGCCAGCCTGGGTGCGGGTGCTGTCCCACAGCCTGTCCCCAGCTGTGGCTGTGACCCCCGGGTGAGACTTGAGGCCCATCGGGGTGGGGTGTGCAGAGCAGAGACTCGGAGGGAAGCCGGGAAACTGTCCCCTCCCTGCCCTGGGTGTGAGCCCAGGGCCTGGACAAGTTGCAGACGGGTGAAGGAAGGGCCAGGAGACGGCGGCCCTGAGGCAGAGTGGGGGCCCACAGGCGAGAGTGGGCAGCGCAGACTGGGCCTCGGGGTCTGTGCCTCTGGCCTTGTTTCAGGGGCTGCGGACGAGGGCACCCAGCAGGAGGGGAGGAGGCACTTTTCCCCCGTGGTCTTGGGGTCACACCGGCAGTATTCAGGGGTCCATATGGGACGCCGGGGATCGAACCCAGGTTGGCCACACGCAAGGCAAACCCTCCCTGCTGTGCTGTCGCTCCGGGCCCAGCAGACACTTCTGTGAGGTGCTAAAAATCCAGCTCCCTGCCCCAGACCGGAGCTGTCAGCCATCTGGACACTGGCTGCAGGGTAGAGTGGGTGTGTGTGAGTGTGTACATGTGAGAATGTGTGACTGAGTGTGTATAGTGTGAGTGTGAGTATGTGTGAGTATATGAGTGTGTGTGAGTATGTGAGTGTGTAGTATGTGTAGCATGTGTGAGTGTGGGTGGTGTGTATAATATGTGAGTGAGTGTGTCTGTGATTATGAATGTGTGTAGTGTATGAGTGTGTAGTATGTGTGTGAGTGTATGTGAGTGTGAGTGTGTGTAGTATATGTGTGAGTGTATGAGTGTGAGTGTGTGTATAGTATGTGGGTGAGTGTGTGTCTATGAGTGTGTATGTGTGTATGTGAGTGTGTGTATGTGTGAGTGTATGTGTGAGAGTGTGTGATGTGAGTGCATATGTGTGTGTGTGGGTGTGTGTGAGTGTGTGTATGTGAGTGTGTGTATATGTGAGTGCATGTGCGTGTGTGAGTTTTGTGTGGGGGTGTGTGTGAATGCATGTGTGCATGTGTGTATGTGAGTGCATGTGTGTGTGAGTGCGTATTTGAGTGTGTATGTGAGTGTGTGTGTGGCAGGGTTTCTCCTGCCAGGCCCTGTGCAGATTTCTGCGCCATTCGTGTTCAGACCCTCAAGGCGGGGTGTGGGGTGGGGAGGTGCCCTGTGTCTCAAGGGCCAGGCCTACCCCCAGGGCGGCCCCGGCTAGCACTGTCTGGCTTTGACATCGCACAGGTCCGAGCACCCCTCTGTGTGGCCCCTGTGAGACACTGACTCCCTGATGCTCCCCTCCTCCCTGGCGCCAACCCTGCCCGCCAGCTGTCCTCTCTGCTGGACACTCCTCAGGCCTGCAGGCGCCACACGGGCCTCTCAGTGCCGGAGCTGTGGGGATGGGAGTGCGGCTCTCCCGCCAGCCCCCACACACAACCCCTGCCACCCGCCCTGCAACAGTAACTCCCACCGGGCACGGGCGCCTGGGTCACAGGGTCGGGGCCTGCCCTGCCGAGAAACTGTTCCAGAAGCTTCCTTTCACGTTCACGTCATCCCAGGGGCTCCGTGGGCACCTGTGCCTGTGGACGGTGTCCTCCCAGAGGACTCCCAAGCCGTGTTCTGGGAGCGCGGCTGCCACCGACAGCCTGCGTGTCCAATCGACAAAGGCGACCGAACCCTGCACAGCCGGGAGCAGCCCTCGCGTGCCTGCGCGAGATGAAGGGAGTCGGTTAATTGGCGCGAGAGGACCTGTGAGATTAATGCACATCAAAGGGCTCCCGACGGGCGGGGGGGTGGCAGCTCTCACGCGCCAGGGCCCGCTGGCCTTTGGGGGCCGCGCTCTGCCCGCACGTCCCAGCTCTCCCCAGGGGCCCGTCCCAGTCACATGGAGCGCCTGTGTGGGCGGGGGCGGGGTGGGGATGCGAGTGCAGGGTGTGGGGTGCAGGTGCAGGAGTATGGGGGTGCGGGTACAGGGGTGTAAGGGTACAGAGTGTGGGGGTGCAGGTGCAGGGTTATAGGTGCAGAGGTGTGCGGTGCAGGTGCAGGGGTGGGGTGTAGTTGTAGGGGTGTGGGGCTGTGGGTGCAGAGATGGGAGTGTGGGTACAGGGATGTGGGGGTGCAAGTACAGGGTTGCGGTGGGGTGCAGGAGTGAGGGTGTGTGTGCAGGGGTAGGCGTTCAGGTACAGCGGTGGTGGTGTGGGTGCAGGGGTGTGGAGTTGCAGGTGCAGGTGCAGGGGTGGGGGTGTGGGGGTGTAGTTGTGGGTGTGGGGGTGTGGGTGCAGGGGTAGGGGTTCAGGTACAGGGGTGGGGGTGTAGTTGTAAGGGTGTGGGAGTGTGGGTGCAGGGGGAGGCGTTGCGGGTGCAGAGGTGGGGGTGTGGGTGCAGGGGTGTGGGGTGCAGGGTTGTGCGGTTGCCAGTGCAGAGGTGGGGTGCGGGTGCAGGGGCGTGGAGGTGCAAGTGTAGGGTCGGGGTGTGGTGCAGGAGTGTGGGGGTGTGAATGCAGGGGTAGGGGCTCAGGTACGGGGTGGGGGTGGGGGTGGGGGTGCAGGGGTGGGGGGCGGGTGCTGGGTTGGGGTGCGGGTCAGGGGTTTGAGAAGATTCTTCCTTCCCCACACGAATTCTCTGTCCAGACCTAACTCTGCTGGGGGAGGTCCGACGGGTTCATCCGCTCTCACCCTGCGCAGTGGAGGGCGGGGGGGGGGCATCTGACCCCCATGCAGCTTGGCCGGTGGGGGAGGCACAGGCTGCCTCAGCCGAGAGTTTCCCAGGGTCCGGGAGCTGAAACAAGGCTCCGCTCGGCCCGGTGCCACCTGGCCCAAGCTGCCGCGGGGACTGGGTGCTCCAGGGGGAGTCGCAGGCAGGAGGGGAGTAGCCACGGGGCTGAGGGGTGCAGACTCACAGAGCCGCAAGGACCCACAAGGACCCACAAGGACCCGCAAGGACCCGCAAGGACCCACAGAAGGGCAGGGGAAGCAGGCCGGGCCAGGTGGAGGCCAGCGGGGGCCTGGAGGGAGGAATTAAAGCCGGGGGAGGTGCTGTGGGCCGGGTGCAGAGGCGGGGAGTCCTGAGGGGGCATCGGGATGGGCAGGGTGGCGCTTGCTGGGCAGTCCTGGGCGCTAATCTCTGCTGCCTGCAGGATCTAAGCTCGGGTCCAGGCTGGGTGCAGGGGAGGATAATTCAGCTCCCTGTGCCGGGCCGAGCTGGTGCCTCCGAAACCCGCTGTTCCTCCCCCATCTGATTTAGGGTGACCCTTGGTCCTTTCACCTGCCCCAAACACAGAATTCAGCACCCCCACCCCCGCTCTCCCCGCGATGAAGGAGTTCCACGCGTGCCCTATTTTATCTAAATCTGCTCCGCACACTGTAGGCCATCGAGCCGCAGATCCATAAAGAACGCCAATGGTAATGACTTCTAGGTTAATTGGATAGGTTTTTAATAACGGATAGAAATATAAGTACTATTATTGTGGGTGAGCATAATGATTTTTATTCACAAAGGCAGTCTTGGTGGTGAAGTCCATTATCTTAAAAGTATTTTGATAAGGATGGATCTGTGTGAGGGTCCCGGCATCTCAAACACAATGGTTAGAGCCCATTATACATGCTTAATAATTAGTTGGCCAAAGACTCTCATTAGATGTACATTAAGTGTGTATTTAAGCCATATTTGAGACACTTCATTAAGAATGACATGGCGGGCTTTGCTGCATAGCTTTAATAAAATTTCAATCCAATTAACGCCGGGATTAATGCTCGAATTTGCTCTCTGAGCACTGGACGCAGCACCTAATTCTTCTTGTGCTTTCCCACGGGAGCCTGGCTCTGGCCACTTCCTGAGATCTGCGTCAGCTTTGTTTAGGTGGCTGCAGGCACCAGCCACGTGGCCGTTCTCAAGGACCCTTTCGATGAGCTTTTGCAATGTTCTGGAACATTCCATCATTCCTGAGAACGGTCCTTTGGAAGTCTCTGCCCTCCGCCACGTGGTGATTTCCACGCCCGGTGTGCATTTTCTGGAAGTGACGTGTGTCTTTTCCCGCAGACTTATTTCTCGGGCCTGTATG